TTCCTTCTAATCTAATCAAGTGTTTCCACAGCCGTCACCGGAGCGCGCTGGTGTTGTTTGATCAGTAGGGGGCGGTGTGCAGGAGTGTGTGTGTGTTCTCTGCGGGAGTGTGTTCTCTCTTCTTATCCCAGACAGATAGGAGCAGGGGGTCTACACACACACATTCAGAGCCGCGTCTCCGCTGTCAGACCTGCCGATCATGTGCACTACACATAGGAAACCAATGATTTGCAGCTCAAATGCGGCCGTATGTGTATTCTTAAACACGTTTCTCCACACTCCGACCACTAAAATGAAGATTTTAAGCCGTGTCTGGGTAATGTTGGCTCTTAAGAGACATGCATCCATTTAAAGCCCTCGGCTGGTGGAAGAGGAGAGCTGTCTTGTTAAGTGATCATCCTTTAAGCTCTTATAAGGTAATTTCTCTTAATATTTAACCATATGTTAGAAGACAGCGTGCACTCAGTGTGAACATCCCTGCGTTTGCCTTTGCTTTAAACAGATTACGGTGGGGTTTGGGTCGGGAACACATGCAGGCACATTACTCAGGCCCTCTGGGAACATGTTACTTGCGAATCCTTAATTCAAGGATGTAAGCTTTTGTTCTTTCGCCTGACGTTAACATGAGCAGACTTTAATGAATCTCTCATGAAGTCATTTTAACGTCAGCGGCGAGGACAAATGAGGTCTGTGTAGAGCTTCGCTCATGTCAGGGGTTTTTAAAGCTATTATGTTGAATGGATAACAAGAAATTCCTTGCTTTCTAAGAGTATGATCAGATGATGTACAATGATGTGGATTTTTACCAAAAATTTAACATTTAATTTAACATTAGGGTTTATTTAGTATTCAGTAATTTGGCCTGCCCTCATGAACGTCATTGTAAAGCCAATCATAATAGAGCTCATTACATTTTTAAAGAGACAGTAACACAAAATAATGAGAGGGCACTTAAAACATAATGATGCTGTTTTTGGTGCAAGAAACCTTGACTAATAGTATAAGTGCATTTACAATGATAACAGTGTACAATATGCCCTCTTGTGTGCTAAAGTTTTGTTACTCTACCTAAAAATGCAAATTGTCTCATCATTATCTCATCATGTGGAGATTATAGACAAATAATGCAGAATATTGTTCCTAAAAGCACATAAAGCTATCATGATGGTAATCTATACAATCCTGAGTGGATGAATCAAGCAAAACGATGTGTGTGTGTGTGTGTGTGTGTGTGTTAGAGCCAGACCGATATATCGGCAGACCGATATTAGGCATTTTCCAAACTATCGGTATCGGCAGTTATAATGGCCGATAAATTAATATTTAAAAAAATAAAATAAAAAGGGACGAAACACGCTTGAACCATGTCATGAGTGTTGGAGTTGTATAGTTTGTCCACCAGAGGGCGCTCTACACCGTTCCTGTCGCCAACACTCGTTGAGTTGGGCACGATACATACATTGCTTGAATAACAATTAAAACAATATCCACATCAGTTCTCTAAACTCAAATAAGCATGACAAAATTTGTGACTAATCATCTCCAGTTTAAAAAAATAAATTAATTAATAAAATATCGGCCGATATATCGGATTTTAAAACCCAAAAATATTTGTATCGGTATCGGCCTTCAAAATCCTTTATCGGTCGGGCTCTAGTGTGTGTGTGTTGTACTGTGTGTGTGACCGTCATGATGACTGCTTGTAGTTTTTTGCATATAGTGTGGGCTTCCATTCACTGCCATTATATAGACTCAAAGAAATGGGAAAAAGGAAATATGTACACACCTGGGATGTTAAATGATTAGAAAGTACCCCATTAAACATAATAAAGGGGCGTGATTTTATCCATCAGAGATTGTGCCTTAAAAGCCGGCCAGAATATGTCTCCCAGTGTGACGTAACCTCATGACGGACGTTCGGGTGGCGGAGAGAGTCGATGGCGTGCTGGGTTCAGACACGGATGTGTGACTGGAGTGTTTGCCCTGTGGCTGTGTGTGTGTGTGACAGAAAGGCGCTCTGTGGCATCCATTACCATGCCACTGAGGCACAGCAAAAGCTTTTCTCTCTCTAGCTCTACATTCCCAGTCCATCCTTCAGGGGATTACCGTTCATTCAACCTTAACTTCACTATACACACAACACAAGGCATGTTAGCCTTCCCATTTACACACTAGCCACCCAGCTGCATATAAATGAGCGCATGCTTCTGTTTATCCGGCTCTCTCTCTCGGCGAGTGATAATGAGACGGCTATCGGATGGCAGTATCTCTAAACCCTGCTGTGATTGGTAGTGGCGTCGTGTGTTGTGAGTTCATGTTTGTCCCCTCGCGCCACACCAGTCGTCGAGTACTGTTCGCTCGACCAAGAATCACTTCTCTGGGGTGCATAAATCAAAGCATTGAAATGAGCTCTGTTTCTCTACAAGTCCATTAATTCAGTTTAGATGGCCGTCGCCTCTCTGATTGTCAATACAGAATCCCACAAACAACCCAGACAGTGTCAACACTGCATCTTAAGGGTTGTTATCAAATGTGTAGAATATGATTTCTAAATCCAATGCTATTTGCATGCTAAGCTCCTCTGAGCAGGTTTCCCAATGTTGGTTTTGGAAAATGGGTCAGTGGGCTGGCAGGATACTTTATTCTGTGTGCATCATCCTCGCTTTGCATCAAACCAATCAGCGTTCTGCATCTGTTTATCTTGATTTCAGGCACAATGTTTGAGCATTTGAAAATCAGAACAAGAAACACTCAAGTTGAAAGCGGTTTTGGTTTTAGCGTGTCGCCAGGCCAGCCATATGTTGGGCAGGCATTGTTGGATGGAACTGATAAGCGTTTCAATCAGAGGAGGATTATGGGTAGAAATCTGCAGATTGTGTCCTCTCGAGGATTGAGTGGCTTTAAAACGCTAAACGCACAACTCATCCACAGCTTGAACGTTTAGTCTGGCCCATGTCCTCTTCTGGAATAACAACAGACACAACAAGTGGAGGAAAACCATTCCGGGACCAATACGGCATTCGTCTCAAAGTTGCAGCTGCTCCATTTCACTGTTCAAATAAAGAAATCTATAAAAAAAGTTGTATACTTCCTAAAGAGAATGTGTAGTTAAAGGGATAGTTCTGTCAGTATTTACTCTCCCTCATGTTGTTCAACCCCGTAAAAACACGAATTAAGATATTTTTGATGAAATCTGAGAGCTGGATCACTCCTCCATACTAGTCCATATAGGCTTCTTCAGGGATTGAAACTTGCCGGCCTCAGAAAGTTATTAAAGACATCGTTAAAATAGTAAAAAACACTTTTTTGTGTGCAAAAAACAACAAAAATAACGACTTTATTTCAACTATTCATTTCCTTCCCTCTGGGCGATCTGTTATTGTACGTCACACGCATCACACACATGACCAGCGTCGGCCAATAGTGAGCCTGCATGTGATGTAGCTCTACGTAAATTTTTTTTTACTATTTTAACAATGTCTTTAATAACTTTCTGAGGCCTGCAAGTTTCAATCCCTGAAGAAGCCTATGGACTAATATGGAGGAGTGATCCATCTCTCAGATTTCATCAAAAATGTCTTAATTCGTGTTCCGAAGATGAACGAAAGTCTTATGGGGTTGAACAACATGAGACAGTAGACAACATAATCACTGACACAATTTTCATTTTTGGGTGAGCTATCCCTTTAAGGCTGATTATTGGATTCTATTCAATTCCAAGTCATTTAAATCTCAATTACTAAAAGATTTGGTAATTGAAGCATTAACTCTTTCCCCGCCAGTTTATTTTTTGTAAAAGTTGCCATCAGTGCCTGGATTTTTGATCATTTTCACAAAAGTTTCAGAATATTTTGTTGTATAAATATATCTGAACATGAATGTATTCTAGCTTCATGAATTATTTTTTATCAACATTTGAAAGTTGGCAAGTTTTATAAAAAAAGAAAACCTTTTTTGAGCAAAAAGCTAAGAAGGTCTTGTTTTTATTAAAGACTACAATTCAGAACAGTGATCAAAACACAGATGAGTCGATCGAGTCCATCAACACCCCCAACGCTACACATTTAAAGCTCAACGTTTCAGTCGGTAGCGATGTATGCAGTTTAATGTTGATGATCACGTTATTTTAACGTCATCCTTACATATGCTATGCTTGTTTCTGCTTCTTCTTCCCCTGTGTTTTAATCAGGAGATTCAGTCCTTTTTCAGTAGAAAATTGCTGTCAATGAGTTGCAGGAAAGAGTTACAAAATCCAAACAATATATTAATTAATTATGCCGACCCATTTCCAGTCAACGTCACAGTTCCATCGCGGCGCTAACTGGAGGCAAAATGGCTAATACACGCTAGCACAGATTCGGCTACATAAGGAGCTTAAATTATTATTATTATTAAATGTCATCTTGTTGTGTTGTCTGGTGCAAGAATAGATTAAAAAATGAATATGCTGTATCTGGAATTTTTATTTCTAGAAAATATTTACATCATTAAAATTGCACCGTAATGTCACTCTTTATATTGCCGTCGTCTTGGCACTAGCTCGGCAGAACTGCTGATCGTACACACAAGTCTTTACAGGACCATTCAGCACATAGTTTTAGGCATTTACAGATTTATATGCCCTCAGTTTCTTTTCACACTCGGTTTCAGTGTAGTTGTCCGGCCACTCAACCGGAGGGAGCGTTAGCATTAATCCTGTCAGATCATCCATCATTGAGTGAGCGTGTATAGGTCGGCAAATCTGCAAATTAACTTTTGCAAATAACAATCGCGGTCCTGGACAGTGTCATTGACCTTACACATTAAGATAAAATCGGATTTTCTCATTGTAAAAAACAAGCTAACAAATTTTACAAACTAGCGTTAGGGAAGCGAGAGGGATCGCTCTGCCTCCACCTAAGCTCCGCCCACAAAAAAACGTCACTGTGTTCAACTGAAAAGGTAACCAACAACCACTGAAATCCTTGTTCTCAACATGTTCTCTGTTGTTGTTGTTCCAGAGAAAGAGACGTTTCTAGAGCCCTTCGTGCTCCGAGACCTGCTGCCGTCGTCGATCGGGAGCTACTACCGCTACATCGGCTCTCTCACCACGCCACCCTGCAGTAAAGTGGTGGAGTGGATCATCTTCAGCCGGCCCGTGTTCCTCTCCTACAAACAGGTGAGTCTCTCCAGTAGGAGTCTGAGGAATTGCAACCGTTACAGATTCATTCGACTGAGTTCACCAAAAACACCTGGGATTGGGACAAGAGCTGAACAGTTTAAATAATAGAGTACACTATTGTGTATAATACCTTTAAAGACCTCAGCCTTTCCCCACACTGACTCATGCCTCTCCATTTGTATGCAACGCATGCGCACATACATCCTGTTCCCCCTCTCGGCGGTGCTCCTGAGCTCTGATTGATAAGAAATGTGATAGAACAAAACCAGCTGCCAGAGATGGGCATCCACTTTTAGAGCAGAAATCATCAGTCTCACAATCACCACGTTTACACTCAGAGAGCAAACAAAGAGAGACGTGGGAAGTGTGGACTGATGTTTATAATGTACAGGCAGGGAACAGTCCATCTCTGGCCGCTTCTGATCTCACCGCGTGAGGGTTTGCTCTCACACATAAAAGATCAAAGACATCTGTACAGAACTCATCCGGACGGCCGTGTAAGATTCCAAGTCATTTCAAGATTTATAACGCTATGGTGTAAGGCTGTAATGATAAAATCAATATTTTAAAAAGAAATAGACTGGCACCAACCAACCAACCAACCACCAACTAAAACGACACCAACCCTCGGTGTGAATCATTCGTAAAACCATTATTGCACAATTCGTAAATGGTCTTTACAAATTATTTACAGATACTTTTGTTCTGCTCGTGTAACTTGAATTGGGTGATATGCGACGTGATTGATATGCCTTCCTGATTGGTGAATGTCTAGCCAACGCAATACTGAAAATACATCTTTTTTTTTCACTTGAAATTCGTTGAAACTTGTCAGCGAGTTAGACGAGAGGAAGACACATAAAATGCATGACCAAAACCTAAACTAACCACAATTCTAAAAAAAACACCATACAGGTGTAATAGGTGTAGATGTTCGTACAATCCAAGTAATACGAGAACGGAATATTCTAGTTTTCATGACAGTTTGTTGGTCACAATGGTTGACTAAGGGACAAAATGTTAGTGAAATTGACTATTTTCTTTATTATTGATATTTTTTAGTGGCGGCAATTTAAAGGGGTGGTATAGTGCCCTTTTCACAAGATAAAATAAATATTTGATGTCGCCAGAGAAGTTTTAGCTCAAAATACCCCACAGATATTTTTCCACAGTCACTTTTTGAGGGTGAGCAAAAACACTGTTTTGTGTCTGGCCCTTTAAATGCAAGACGCGGGTTTACCCGCCGATCTAACTGCGATGTTGTTATTTTAGCTTACTTTATATTCGGGTGAACTCAACTGTCTTTGCACTGCTGACTAGCCTGAATATAATAGACAAGTTATTGTCTACACTGGTTTGTCCAGCCTTTATTGAGCTCTGTTGGTTGAACATGATGATTTGCAGAATATAAAGGTGTTACTGTTTTTGCAGTTTGTCTATTAATTTTTCTACTCTCTAAAGTTAATTATTATTGAAGTATTTTTTGTTTCTATGAAAACCTATAGGCCCACTCACATTTTCACTGGCCCACCCAAAATACAATGTGAAGTTTTATGTGAAGTTTTAGCTCAAAATACCCCACAAATATTTTTATATAGCATGTTAAAGTTGTCACTTTTTAGTGGTTAGCAAAAACACACCGTTTTGTGTCTGGCCCTTTAAATGCAAATGAGCTGCAGCTCGCGACACAGTGGGCGGAGCTTCAAGAGTGTGTTTGTTAGCAGCTCCGATTACCTCAAGCTGACACACGCTAAAATGTCAGAAACTGTTCTGCCTTTTATGTTTAAACCGGACTCAGACAAAGATGGAGAGACTAAAGAAGAAGTGACAACATGTAGGACGTCTCTGAATGGTTAGTTGATGAATTTATGTGGCTGATGTGGAGAGTTAGCTATCTTCAATTAGCATATTCTGTCAGAACTGTTGTGGTGTCTACAACTGCTCTTCTTCTTCTCAACATGGAGTGTGTTCCCAGGGGGGGGTTATATCAATTTTAGTGATGTCACTAACCCTTGTGTAGTTTGTGTAGTTCCTCTCAGCCGTTTGTTGTAGTCCTTAAAAACGATTTCTGTTAAAGCAAATATCTTCCTTTGCTTTAAACTTTGAGCGTTGTAACTTTGCAGATGTAGTTTATGCTCAAACAGCAACATTACACACTCACTACAGTTAGAAAAGTGAAATCATAATCAACCACCCCTTTAATTAGCATTCTGATAGCATGTTCTGCTTTAGCTGGTAGCTAAAGTTTGCACAGCAAAACCCGTCTGGGAAACGTTGGGTTTTCAATATTTCACCTTTAAAGCATATATCTTTAAGTGTCTCGCCACGATGGGTTTCTTAGTGGTAATGATAACATTTTTAAAATGAGTGTTTTTCTCATTGTTTGAAACCATTTATGATGCATTATAAAGGCATTTGCATATAGCCAAATAATCACTGTAGCCCAGATTTTGTCAGATGTGTGAGTCCCTGTCAGTATCCAAATGTTCTGAGCGCGTCAGGAAGTGATGCGTGTACGGGTCACAGCTCATCGAGCGTTTAACAGGAAGAGCTGTAAACACTTTCTGCTCTCGCTTGACTCCTCTTAGAGTTCCCTTCGGTCTCTGTGATTTTGTGTAAAAGGAAACACTGCTGAGGCCGATGTAAGTGTGTGTGTGTGTGTGTGTGTGTGTGAGGAAGACAGTTGTCCTTCACTCCCCGTTTCTCTTGCTCCTTTGTTCTTCATCAAAGCAGGAAGTAGGTCACGGAGACTGACAGACTGAGCTCTGGGGCGCTTCGAGACACGATCGATGCTCAGCCAGTCGACTGCATTTGCAACATCTGGAGCATAGGTGGACATCACACACACACACACACACGTCTCACCATTCGCCCCTAGAACGCCCTGTTGCTGTCGTTAGCCATAAGAGATTACTCAACTATCAGACTCCAACATGTCTTCTGAGCAGTGACACACACACACACACACACACAGTTGTGTGACCCGGAACGGCCCTGTTGCTGTGATTTCCCACCAGGGATTACTTAACCCTCATACCCATGATGCACAGTCATTTCACAAACACACACACACAAACACATCTGTCCCGGATTACTACAGCGCTAAGAGTCGTACACAATGAGAGACGTGCTTGCCCAATCCCAGTAAGCCGTTTAGAAGCGAGGTTTGGGCGTACGAGGGATTAATAGATGAGGATTGTGATCAGGAGATTATCCGAGAGCAGCATATTGTTTGGGTGTGACCCTAAAGCACAGGAAATGATGTCACAGATCAGATTTGGTGGAATATCAGAGAGGTACAGCATGTGGGATTTGTTTACTCGTTTGACGGATGATAAAACACACACTCTGGCTGTTTTTGTGTCACACACGTTCACGTCGTTTACCCTAGCTATACGTGACGACACCATACACTTCTGTTGCTTTTATATTATAATCGCAACTAGGATTATGATGGATCAATTTAAAAATGTAATCAAGTGAATTACATGATATGCTTATTAATTTAGCTTGCATTTCTAAATATAAAATGTTAATAAAAGTATATATTTATATTATTATAATATATATTTTATTTGTTAGATATCAAATACATGTGCTAAATGTTAACCGATTAAAAGTTTAGGTCGATAATATTTTTTACATTTTAGGTTGCAGTTATTTAATCAAAAATGAAGTAAAAACTGCAATATTTTGAAATATTATTTCAATTTAAAAATAACTGTGTTCAATTGTATTATATTGTTAATGTTATTATTATTGACTCCAGTCTTCAGTGTCACATGATCCTCCAGAAATCACTGATTTGGTGCTCATGAAATTAATTATTATTATTATTATTATCAATGTTTACCTCATTTTTTTTTTTTCAGTGTTGTTGTTTTTTGGTATTAATTTTTTTTTAAAAATCTGTGTAATTTACATATAAAATAATTACTGTTTATCTTTTTTAATATATTTAATTAATCACTCATTTTATATAACAACCAATGCAGTCACAAAAACTATTTTACACTATTTTTTAGTCCAAATGCTCTAAAACAGCACTTTTGGATATTTCAAATATGAGATAATAAATTAAAATAAAATAAATCTACCTTTTACAAAACAAACCTGATCCAAACCTCAGTTTTATTAGGACCTAAGAACCTTTACTCACAAGAAAGAAAGATGGATGGATTGATCAATGTTTTCTAATGGAGCGTTTTTAGGTTTCTGTCTTCTGTTTCTCAGTGGTTCAGCCTCAGACTCGCACTTTTAGGGCCGACTCGGTTTAAAGTGAACCAGGAAGATGTTAAAATGTTAACATGTTAAAAGGAAGATGTGCAGTTTGGGCGTTCGAGGTTAGTGAGGCATGGCTGAGGCAGAACCGAGACAGACGGTCGGCCATGTTTTGGGTCTTTGATCGGACTGAGTCACTCGTTTTGAAGGAGGGAAAAGAGACTCCGGGCATCTTGGGAGATGACTTACTTAAAAAATAAGAGACATGTTAAAACATACTGAATCCCCCCCCCCCCTCTCTCTCTCTCTCTCTCTCTCTCACACACAGCTGGAGGCGTTCTACTCCATCTTCACCACAGAGCAGCAGGACCATGTTAAATCCGTCGAATACCTGCGAAACAACTTCCGCCCACTCCAGAGTCTGGACAACCGAGAGGTCTTCAAGTCCGCGGTCAAAGATGCGTGGCTGCCTGACTTGACGGACAGCCTGGGGAACCCGTACGGCACCGAGGCGTCCAAAGGTGGGCGGCTCTCCTCAATGTGTGTGTGTGTAAACCAGATGATGTCACAGAGACATTTCAGACTCTTTTAGATACAAGTTTAGATTCAGATTTTCCTCATTAGTGCTTGCTCGTAATGCACGAGAGCGAGCGAGCGTGTGTGTGTGTGTGTGTGTGTGTGTGTGTGTGTAATGAGAGTGAGTAGGTGGCATATGGTGCCGTCCTCTGCTATTGTGTCATTAGACACTCTGTCTTTATTGCCTATTTTTCGCTCATTTCTCTACTCCGCAAATGCACAAGACTGCAGCTTTTCAAGGACACACTGCTCTCTCACCTCTGTGTGTGTGTGTGTGTGTGTGTGTGTGTGTGTACGCCACAGATCTGCGTCACACACTCCAGACTCCTGCTTTAATCGACAAATGATCCGACCATTCCTCCTTATACACACACTTGTTTTTATATCATGGTGGGGAACTTCTTTTGACTGTTATTGTTGTTTTATTATTATTATTATTATTATTAAATTAAATTGAAATAATACAGAAAGTATAAGTAATATATATATATATATATGAGGTTGTTATACTATTTAATTATAGTATTAAATATTTAAAAAAATAAGTTTGCAGGCTTTGCAAGTTAAATTCAATTGCTGAATTAAATTTAATTAAATGAATAGTTTTATAGATAAATTAACATAAAGTTGTTGTACTATTTAATTATTATATATTTGCATTGAGCAAATTTTTTCTTTATGTAATAAAAATCTAATGTACTCATTATAAAGCATTGTATATTATATAATTGCATTATAAATACATAATTCAATAATTAAAATAATTAAAAAAAAAAAAAAATTGCTAAATATTTTACCGATCACAAATAAATGAATCCATTGACAGCCCAACTATGTTTATTTGTTGCATAAGTTGTTGATTTGTTATTACTGGTATTGTAAGCCTAAATTTTTGCGTTGACGAAAACACCTTCGTCCTATCTATAAACTTTCCGTAGATTTCATCACAAAAGCTAAAAAAACACCAGAAAGCCAGAACCGGCACAAAATCCCTTTAAATAATTCCGTTTACACATCCGGGACTTTCTCCTGCTGTGAACTTCAATGTTACCGCTTTCTGTCACCATTTACTACGTACACTTCCCGCTTTACCTAGTCGTTTTTCATGTGGAGATCACGAAACGCTTGTGTTGAGAAGAGCATTGAAGTCTTGATGTGGGTCATGTGATCACAGCGATCCTGACATACATCCCTTTATGAAGCTTTCCTCAAGGGAACATTTGATCCGCACATGGATTGGCAAACAGAATTAAACACACACATTCCCACTACCTCTCAATACAAACAAAGATTGTTTACCCCATATTTACAAAACATTCGTCCTACACACTCTTTTTCTGTCCGTTAGCGAGCAGAATATCTGGCGGGCTTGAACAGATATTGATTGGCCCAGGCATTACACCGCGGGCGCTCCTCTCATTTACAGTTCTCTCACATGTTCATCAAATCTGGCCTGGTGATCCACAATCCCTCACTCCCAACGGCTCTCACCATCCTCATCACCTCGGTCAGGGTAAAGAGACGACATCTAACGCTGTTCCTCAAACCCGGGACAAGCTGACGTCAAAGATCGGGCGGCGACGAAACCGACTGCGTTGATGCCTCTCGTCGGCTGCGTCTCGACCAAAACACACCAAAAGGACCAGCGCCTGCGTGTCAGTAAATATCTATATGTTCATCATTCACAAAGAAACAAACCGTACACAAAGCAGCGCTTCATTACCATTTAAAAAATCAGTCCAGTCGGCTCATGTTATGCTGAAAATATTTGTGCAATCGAAAGTGATGTAAAATTATAACAGACGTCTGTCTGTAACGTCTTGCTTGCTTTCGTCACTTTCGCTTTTATTCCCATGCACTCGTTCGTTCGCTAAGCGAACAGCCAATCAGAGAGCTCCCTCTCACCAGCGGCCCAACGCTGACTCAACATGCTTAATTAGCCCAAAACAAAAAATCTGACAATTATTTATCTTAAAAAATCTTATTTATTAAATTACATTTCTTTTTTTTCTAGATAGCATTAAAACCGTATTCTGGACAAATGTGGGCAAAATTTGTAAAAAAAAAAAAAATAGCGGTACAAGACTTGGCTACTTTTCCTAAGTTTGCCTCCTGAACACACACAATTATTTTTTGACTCAATTCTACAATGTTAAGTGCGTGAAAAAAAACCTCCTTAATCTTGAATTTGGGTCAAAAATGGGCAGCCATAGAAATGAATGGGAAAACTGTAATTTAGAGCATTCTAAAATAAGACACCAGGTGACAACAAAGTCACTTCATCTTTAGGGTTTAGCTCTAAGAACTTATTGGAATGATATTTTAATGTAATTCATTTACATAGAAATAATTTACATAAAAAATATGGTACTTTTTGAAGTAAATAAATTCACAAATACCCCCAAAATAAAAGAAAACACCATAAATGGATAGACAAAACTTTATCAAAGACAGTGATATATTTATAATAAATAAAAAGTCCTCTGTGCCCACATTTGTCCACAATTACAGGGTTAAGTGCAATGAAGTGAATACGGTTCGAGGGCTACATTGATTTAGGGAAGGCCATAGTTCTTCTTGGACTTGTTAATAGACAAACTAAATGTGGAAACTCCTAAACTCCAGATCCCAGAGCCTTCTGAATCAGAAATATAATTAATTTGGGTGCTTGGAAATAATTCTGTAATACGAAGAGAGCGACGCTGCTCTTATCGCTCCCTGGTTATGCGTTTAATTTCAGCTCCGTGAAGAATTGATTGTGACACCGTCCCCTGTTGTGGAAGAATAAAGAAGGAACAGAAAGGATAGACTGGAAGGGTGGAGTAATAGAGAGAACAGAAGCGTATCGCCGGTGCCTGCGGGCTGGAGCTGAACTTTTTGTCAGCTTGGATTAATTCAACACACGTGCGGATCATAGCTCTCCCTCGTATCGGCGAAACAGCGCTGGTGAGATCATGTAGTGCAGCACCATCCCCAATCTGGAGGAACTGCGTCAACACAGGCTTTCAATACTTCAATCTGAAGTGTGGCTAATGCGTATTCTTTAGGTTTCCATTCCTCAAAAGGCTCTTTATAGTGGGAAATGTTTCTTTAGATTGTTAAAATCTTCTTTGGGGAACCAATGTGTTTTTTTCTATGCAAAACAACTTTTATTTTTTCGGAATAGTACACCAGTTTTTATTCTTCTCTCTAATGTTGTTCTCCATCAGATGAGCTGTTCCTGTAAACTGGTCTTGTTGGAAAGAGCCGCTCAAGGTTAACCGCGTGTTTGCACTTTCTCTCTCTCTAATTTGACTTCTGCTCTCACCTTCTCTCCTTTCCTGCGATATCCCTCCATTAATCTCGCTCTCCATGGTCAACAAGCCGGAGGGCCAAAGATGGCCTTTTTATTAAACGATTCTCTGTGCATCTCTTAAGAGACCTGCACTCCTGCACAGTGACCTCTGCGACTGTTTCCGAGCGGCTTATACACTGTGTGTGTGTGTGTGTGTGTGTGTGTTGCACAGACGCATGGATGGAGAAAATGCTGTGCCTGTGATGGTTTAGGAGAATATATTTAAATCTGTCGTCATAAAATGTACCGAAATATTTAATTTATTTTTAATTTATTTATTTATTTAATATTTAACACAAATCATGCAAAGAGAATGTGAGAATGTGTAAAACCCTGAGAATGTAGTTTGTATATTCACCAGCACTTTACTTGAAGGGGTGTGTGTATAAGACTGGCATGGCACCTTCATAACCATGACATGACATATGTATTTTTTTTTTTAACCTTTATTTAACCAGGAAAAAAAAAAATCCCATTGAGAATACTAATCTCTTTTTCAAGACAGCGGCACAGATCACAACAATTCAGTGCATTACAGACAATTTTATAACAATTTCATAAGACTATTTAAAGTCTATTTAAAGGCACGGAGTATTGAATATGAAGTAGGGTTTATGCATGTTTATGATAACTGTCGCTCAATAATGACATTTTGAATGCAAATATGACATTGTTTAAGATGTCTTTGTCATGACAACTTGACATTAAATGAAGTTAATCTGTCATGTGGTTGGCTTTGTCATTGGCTGTCATGAGGCATTATTACTGTGTCATGAATATATCCGTGTCCTCAACTACAGTGGTACTAATTGAGTTTGTCATTAAAGAGTTATAATAGCTTCATGACAGCCAATGTCAAAACCAACCGCCTGACAGTTGAGTATAATGTTAACCAATAAAGCTAGGTGGTTTCTTAAGTTTGATCATTAATCTGCTATGTCATGTTTATGACAGGTTGTGTCGTCTTAGTAATATCCAGTTGTCATGACAACGACACTGACAGGTTATGATGTATTGGTTTATGTCAAGGTGTCATAACAAAGACATCTCAAACAATGTCATATTTGCATTACAAATGTCATAACTGAGTGAATGACACTTTGTCATAAACATGCATAAAAATGTCATGTCATGGTTATGAAGGTGTCATGTCAGTCTTATGCACACCCCTTCAAGTAAAGTGTTACCCAATATTCATGATTCTGAAGCTGAAAATTATTTTAGATGAATATTCGCACTCTGTCACTGACTAGATATATTTAAAACAATGTCGGACACTTTTTAATGGTAAAATGAGACATTCGGCATTATCAGGACCCACAAATATTCTCCATTGCATTATATTCAACATTAAATGCATTGAACAATGCACATGTTTTTAGTGACCCCATTAAGTCATTCTTAAATAGTTTTGCATGTAAATCTGTTTGGTTTGTTGTGTTGTTTATGTGATTTTGTGTAACTCATGTAATTGTTGCCCCAGGGCTCCCTTGTAAAGGAGATTTGATTTGAATATCTCAATGGGACATCACCTGCATGGTAAAATAAAGGATAAATTAAATAAAATTAAAAATTCAAGATTTGTTATCACAACATATTTTCTTTTGTCAAATCAACTTTATAATAATTTATTTAGTTGAGATAACTTATTATTTAGAGTTTCTGATGTTTAAATCAATCTCCTTCATTGTATAACTCACTTTTTCCAGTTCAATCAACTTAAAATTTTAAGGCAACCCACGTTACTTACTTTTTTAAGTTAAACCAACAATATTTTTTTTTACGGTGTGGTAATCACAACATTTTTTCTTTTTCTTTTTGTCAAATCAACTTAAATAATTTATGTAGTTCAGATAACATATAATTTTGAGTTTCTGATGTTTAAATCAATCTCCTTCATTGTATTAACTCACTTTTTCCAGTTCAATGAACTTAAAATTTTAAGGCAACCAGGTTACTTACTTTTTTAAGTTAAACCAACAATATTTTTTTACAGTGTAGTAATCACAACATTTTTTCTTTTGTCAAATCAACTTAAATAATTTATTTAGTTCAGATATCATATCATTTTGAGTTTCTGATGTTTAAATCATTCTCCTTCATTGTATTAACTCACTTTTTCCAGTTCAATGCACTTAAAATTTGAAGGCAACCAGGTTACTTACTTTTTTAAGTTAAACCAACAATATTTTTTTACAGTGTAGTTTAATGTAGTTCATTTTGGGTGAGCTACTGTATATACAAAACATATTGTCACTATCCACAATACATATTGTTGCATTTTTGCACTGTGTGTATATATTGTGACACGATATATTGTGTCAATACTGTTGGATTCCTTTCTTCTTTGTGGCAATAAAGAAACACACAGGGGTGCAGAAGTGTGTACCCGAGTATTTCGGCTCTCCTATAAGCATCATTTCTTATGCATTGGTATTTGAAAATGCATTGATGTCGGTGTGTGTGAACTCGAGGCTCTCGCATGTTCCCGTTCCTAGTTTGAGTTCCTATAACATGCACTATTTTGTTGCATACGTTCATGTAAATAATAAAGCACTGCAGGTTTTATTTTGGTTTATGGTTACAATAGTTCCACCTGGACACTCTTTCGATCACTAGATTTGATTTTAGACCTGCTGATTTTAATCTCGAATAGGATGAAAATTGCAAACATGCATAAACTGCATGCATAAATCTTCCATAAACTGCAGGCTGTGGAAATGTCTGTCTTATTTAAAGGACAAGCTTCCATCCTCAAATGTCAAAGTCACGTTTGCCATCTGTGTGAAAGCCGGTCTGTGTGCGTTCTGATTGCGGCTGGAGTCACTATTACTTCTCTCATCATTAGAGCTAATAGAGGCTTCGGAGAGAGGAGTGATGGTAGAATTAGTTTAATTAGCATTGTTTTGGATGTAATGGCTCCCCTGTGGCTGTGGGAGGGAGTGTGTGCTCTTGTGTGTGTTGCAGATGTGTGCAGATGAACAGCAAAACTACAGAAATGTAGGGCTGTTTCTCTCCGAGTAGAAGCTCCAGAAACTGCGGCGCGCTCGTGATTAAACACCTTCTGCTGCGGAGATTAGCAGCAACTGGGATGATGCCGGTGTTTACAGAGGCCATGACACAATTCAGGACACGTGAAAGCCCAGAGTGTGCAGTCAGCGGTCCGACAGAGCCATCTAGTGGCGGTGGGATCTAAGGGCACCGATGGAGCTCAAGGTGAGAGTGCTGGCAAAGAGCTAAACACACACTCTTCTTCTCTCCGTCTCTCACACAGCATGCAGCAGCGCCCCCATCAACATGAACGTCCAGCACATGAACAAGACGGCGTTAGTGGTGCGATGGTCCCGTCCGGAGATCACCTACGACCCGCCCATCATCAGCTACCTCATCTCCTACAGCTGGACCCGAAACGACGAGTCCTACGAGGAGACGTACGTCAGAGAGAATAATCAGAAACTGGTGAGCAGTTCAATGGTTTCTTTTGTGTGTGTAATGGTCATCAATATCTCACAATGCTGGGTTGTTTCAACCCAAATTTGGGTTAAATATGGACTAAAACCCAAAGGTTGGGTTGAAAATGTAACTTTCATTTTCAACTGTCATTTTTTTTATTGCATATTTAACCCAACATTTGGGTTTGTCCATAGTTGACCCACATTTGGGTTAATTCATGACTTTATACTTTACAGAAAACATTTTTTTTTTTGGGTGATCTATACACTCTAAACAATTCTGGGTTGTTTGAACCCAAATTTGGGTCAAATATGGACAAACCCAAATGTTGGGTTAAAAATGTAGTTTTAAATTTTGACCCAACTTCAACTTTCACTTTCAACTGTAAATTTTTTCATTGCATTTTTAACCCAACATTTGGGTTTATCCATATTTGACCCACATTTGGCTTGAAACAACCCAGCATTTTTTAGAGTGTATCATGAACTGTTAATATAGTTTAAAAGTTTACACTGATTTTTCAGTGTGAAACATGGTGATGAGGAATTGATTTATTTATTATTATTATTATTATTATTTATTTATTTATTTTTTTATTTTTTTGGTGATCTATACACTCTAAAAAATGTTGCGTTGTTTCAACCCAAATGTGGGTCAAATATGGACAAATATAAATGTTGGGTTAAAAATGCAATTAAAAAAATTACAGTTGAAAGTGAAAGTTACAATTTGAAATGACATTTTTAACCCAACATTTGCGTTTGTCCATATTTGACCCATATTTGTACCACAATATCTCCCCAAAATGATCAAATATCCCACTTATACTTTAAAGACAGCATGATATAACATTCACAATGCATACAGTGACATATGTCCAATATTGTTGAGGGATTCTGCTTGTATTGGTCATCTATTCCACTATCTCACAATAAACCCAGAAAAGGGTTAAATGAGCATCTCAAGACCACATGAAATGGCATTCACAACATGCTTAACTTCCATAATGTGACAAATTTCTTAGTTAAACTGAATTTTCAGAAAGAAAAATATATAGGATAGGACTTGATTTTAACTTTCCTAATATCTGTATAAATATGTTTATTGGTTCATTTTGATTTCTGCTTGTTCTTAAAGGAGTAATTCAGTTTTCAAAAAACTTTAGCTGATAATTTACTCACCCCCGTGTCATCCAAGATGTCCATGTCTTTCTTTCTTCAGTCGAAAAGAAATTAAGGTTTTTGATGAATAATGGACTTCAATGGGAACCAAACGGTTCAAAAGAGAGTTTCCGTGCAAACTGTTCAAAGGGCTTTAAACGACTCCAGACGATGAATAAGGGTCTTATCAAGCGAAACGATCGCTCATTTAATAAATAAATAACAAAGTTTAAGTTTTATAAGCTCAAATGCTCCCCTTGCTCTGTTCTGTGATGCGCGTTCGTGACTCTCCTGTTCATCAAAATGAACAAATCTGTTTCCGTGTCAATTTGTTCGTTTCGCTCGTTGAATGAACCAAATGACTCGTAAAAAGATTCGTTCATTTTGATATTTTTTTCAAAAGTGAACTGCTCCTTTAAAATATACAAAAACAGAAGCGTTCTAGAGTTATTCGGATTATAATTAAGTATAAATTATAAAAATGTCATTTGTAATACATTTTAGCAATATTTCTGTATTTTGATAGAATAAATACAGCCAAAAAAAAATATATGAACATGCATGAACAAAAAATACATCTAGCTACTAGGGGTGCACGATATTGACAAAAACGTGAATGAATATTGCGATATCGATATTAATTTCGATATTTTTAAACGGATGTAAAACTACAAAAGTTATTGGAAAACGCATCAAAAAAAATTAATAAATAAAACAAGATTTCTTACAACATAAGATTTATTTCATCAATAACCATTCCAGGTTTCCGATCTGTTCTTGCAAACACAGTGTGTGAATGTGTGTATGTTGATATCATGCCTGTGAAGCCGGGGCTCGTGGATGATATCCTGTAATCTCTCGTCCGCCGGAGCGTGTTTGCAGGAGTGTGACTGTGAATAAAGTGTGTGTTTTAGGCGGTCGGCGGGGGGGGGGGGGGGGGGGGGGGCGCAGCGGTAGACACCCACCATTGGAAAATACTAATGCACCAAAACTGTTTAAGAGGCGGAGATGTTTTAGTCTGATTTCTCTTGACTTTCGTCGGTGAGATGTGTCACAGGCGGAGATTTCTGATCCTCAGGTCCGCTTTGAGGCATTTTGGTTCATTTTGTTCTCAAATATTTTTGAAAATGGCGCTCCAGAACATCATCATTAGGTTCACTCCTTTCCCAAATTCCTCTCTATGTTTCATTGTTCCTCTTTTCTTTTAAGTTCTTCATTTCCATTTTCTTGTCCCAGGATGCCGCTATCTGGGTCAAATTAGCGTCCGACTCGATGTTTGAGGGACTGCTTCCCAGATCAATGGAGAAAGAGTTTTTACTGCTTTCCACTTCTAATGACCCAACACCACAGTGTGATATTCGAGTCGGGTCCTTTAAAGAACGGACGTGCATAAATCAGAGAGGTGTTGGTGCATGAGGAGAGGAACTGACGCCATTTACTTAGTGCAAGATTTACAAATCCCTCCATCCCTCAGCACTTCCCAGCGGACCCCGCGGAGGCCAGTGAGTTATGGCTCACACACTTACAACTGTATTGAATCTTCATTTCTCAGAGATGAACTGAGGCTGCCTGCGTCCGGTTCAAACAGACACCAATCAGGCGGGTGTGTCCCTGCACTGACATTTACTGGGGCTTTCTTTTACTCAAACATTTTCACTAAGGTGTTTCAGCGACCAATAAGAATGAAGTGCGAATAGCTCATTTTAATAATATTTAAATTGGACTCTTTTCACATTTACAGTCTTTATTCATTTTAATTTTAAATGTGTTATACCTTCCCAGGGACTACAGGTGGAAATTAGCAAATGTTGCAACAACCTAGCCCAAGACATATTCTCTTGTTTTAACAAGTTTAATGTTTATTGTCCCTGTTTCAAATACATAATTTCCATTCCATTCCATTCATAGTCTACTTGAAGAGTTCAGATGCAAAAGCCTCTAAGTGCCATTTGAAATTTTCTTCTAGAATGATCATTTTTATCAAACTTGTATATTTAAGTTCAGTGATTTCACTTGAATGGCAATGATAATTACATATTAATTGTTATTTAAGTGAAATTACTGAACTTAAATATACAAGTTTGATAAAAATCATCATTAAAGAAGAAAATTTCAAATGGCATTTAGAGGCTTTTGCATCTGAACTCTTCACTTACAGTTTCAGTAGAGCTGATTTATTATCTCGTCCTTCCTTTTACACATAATCTGTTTAGGATTAAAGAGATAGTTCACCCAAAAATGAAAAGTCTGCCATCATTTACTCACTCTGAAAGAGTTTCTTTCTCCTGTTGAACACAAAAGAAGATATTTTGTCGAATATCAGTCGTTGGACCCCATTGACTTCCATAGTAGCCTGTTTTTCCCATACTAACTCAATGGATCAGCTGTGGATTCCCCATATTCTTCCAAATATCTTCAGCAGAAGAAGAAACTCACAGGTTTGGAACAACTTGAGGGAGTATTTTATTTTATCTCTTTAAAATATGTGTAATATTTAGGTTTAGGTGTGCTATGAACAATAGTAATAAGCAGAGTTATTAATAAAAAAACTAGTTAAATTTTGCGTCCTTAGACGCTAATCTAAAGTGTACTGTGTGTTAATATGTTCTCAGAAAGATCCTAACAATGTTGCATAATTTATTGATGATGTCGTACAGCCTTTAAAAATACTCCAGTGTGTGTGTGTGTGGGGCTCTGAGGTGCTAATGAATGCGATGTGAGGCAGAGACTGATAGAGACTGTCTATTTTCAATGCTAATGACTAGAGAAGAAAGGTGTTAGCGTCAAGCGAAGGAGAGGAGAACGAGCTGTTCACCTTCATCCTCCAGACCGCCGTCAGGAGAGGTCACACTTCAAAGTGTGTGTGTGTGTGTGTGTGTGTGTCGACCACTCTTCCAGTGTTTTGACTGGACGCGTCAGATGATAACACACCTCCACATCACAGGCGGATTTTTGGACGTATCCTGGCGTGTATGTGCTGTAACGTGTGTGTGTGTGTGTTTCAGGAGGTTGTGATCACACCGGTGTCGGCAGATGTGCTGTACCTGTTCCGCGTCCAGGCCGTGTGTTTGAATGACAAGCGCAGTGACTTCAGCCAGAGCATGCTCTTCAGAGGTTACTCACACACACACTGAACACTTCCTGACGATAGTCTGGTTGTTGTTTTTAAACCCGTCCCGTCTCATTTATCTGGATCTACTTTGTTTTGGCAGCCAACACCACCAGGATATTCGAGGGCACCAGAATAGTCAAAACCGGGATGGTGAGTTTGCATCTGTCCAGCAGGGGGTGCAACTCTCTTTACTCTGGCAAATAAAATACATTTTATTTTTATTTCTTGAATAATACATTATTTTTACAAATAATAATTTGAATAATAATATAGAAGTATATTTATACAAAAAATAATATATATATATTTTTTTATAATCTGAACTATTAATCAGAGTTATGCTTGGAAAGATGACTTGAAAATTGCCCTAAACCTAAACAGATTTGATCTTTTATTTATATTCCTTAAAACAAAATAATATAAATAATATAATGTGTTTATTACAAATAATAATTTACCAATAGTTTAATAAGAGTAATATATAATACAAGGTATTTATTCAATAATAATTACATGATTTAAATAAATATATATTTGTTTTCTGTATTATTTATTTTAGAAAATATATACATAGATATGTATTTAAAAGCTTTTAAAACATATATTTTTGTTAATTTTTTCTTTCTTTTTTTCTTTCTTTTTTTCTTTCTTTCTTTCCTTCTTTCTTTCTTTCTTTCTAACTAATCAATCTCTCTTGCTTTCTATCTTATCTATCTATCTTCCTAACTAATCTTTCTTTCTTTCTAACTAATATTTTTCTTTCTTTCTAACTGATCTATCTTCCTTTCATTCTAACAAATCTATCTTTCTAATCTATCTATCTTTCTCTCTAACTAATCTTTCTTTCATTGAAACAAATCTTTCTATCTATTATTTATCCTTCTTTCTATCTAATCCATCTTTAAAACTTCAAACTACTTTAAACTTCTTCAAACTCTCTTGTCCAGCTTTCTCAGGCCAACTTAAAGTTTGTGTCATCAAACTTTTTTTTCTAGTTTGAATAATAATATATACAATATAGAAGTATATTTATACAAAAAAATAATATAATCTGAACTATGAATCAGAGTTGGAAAGGTGACTTGAAAATTGCCCTAAACCTAAACAGATTTGATCTTTTATTTATATTCCTCAAAACAAACTAATATAATGTGTTTATTACAAATAATAATTTGACAATAATAATAATAATATATATTAGAAGGTATAGAAATATATTTATTCAATAATTACATGATTTAAATAAATTTGTTATTATATATATTATATATAATTATATTATTAATATATATATTAATATATATTAATATATTATTTATAATATATATTTATTTGTATTATATATATATATATATATATTATAAATATTAATATATATATATTAATATATATTTGTTTTCTGTATTATTTATTTTAGGAAATATATACATAGATATGTATTTAAAGGCTTTTAAAAACATATATTTTTGAAAATAAATAATAAATGGATATATAATTTTAATTTGTAATTTATTTTAGAAAGTATTAAAATTAAAAAAGAGTGTTTTAAAGAACGTCCTGAAAGCTGATTTGGTGTTTTAGAGTCGGTGCAGAGGAGAATAAAGTGTTGGTCGTCTTCTTCTTCTTCTAGCCGACCGTCTCCCCGGCCTCCTCCGCAGACATGGCCCCGATCAGCTCCGGCTCCTCCACCTGGACCTCCTCTGGCCTCCCCTTCTCCTTCGTGTCGATGGCGACCGGGATCGGGCCCTCGTCCAGCGGGAGCCAGGCGACGGTGGCGTCTGTGGTGACCAGCACCCTGCTGGCGGGTTTGGGTTTCAGCGGCGGGGTCATCTCCTCCTTCCCCAGCTCAGTCTGGCCCAGCAGACCTCCTCCCTCGAGCCCCGCTCCCGCCTCCACACGCCAGACCGAACAGCCCTCCTCGCCGGCACCAGACGCAGACGGCCCCGGGGCCGAGGACGGGGCCGAGAAGGGAGGGAAGGGCGAGGACGAGGACGGAGAAAAGAACGGAGAGGAGGAAGAGGAAGAGGAAGAGGAGAAAGGTGCCGAGAGAGCTCCAGACGACGTGGAAAAGCAGAGGAACACCTCCGTGACCAAAGAGCCGCCCACAGCAACGCCAGACTCCACCGCCAAAGAGAAAGGAGGAAGCAGGAGGGCCGAAGACAGCACAGCGCCATCTGCTGTCCCGGAGGACGAGGTGGAGAAGAACACACACAGATCAGGGGAAGAGCACCCGCGGGTGATGCCGACCGCAGAGACGGAGACGGATGATGATGATGAGCCTCCAGACAGCGTGACCCCGACCAGCAGACCCAGCAGAGGAGACCGCAACCCCCTGCCGCCGTTCTCCATTCACACAGGTTAGAAACCAGCAAGATCTCTTGTGTCGCGTTTATTTCTCAAATCCAACGCCACCCAATTGTTTTTGTTTTTTTCTACTTTATACATTAAAATATTTTTATAGCTTGGCATAAATACAAACAATGTATATGCATCATAAAATATATAAAAATGGCAATTGAGAAGGGTTACTATAGTTAACTAATACTAAAACTATATATACATAATATATACACTACCGGTCAAAAGTTTTAGATCAGTGAGATTTTTTATGTTTCTCTTCTGCTCACCAAGGCTGCTTTATTTGATGAAAAAAAAAAATGACAAACAGTAATATTGTGAAATATTATGACAATTTAAAATGACTGTTTTCTATTTTAATATATTTTAAAATGTAATTTGAAAGCTGAATTTTCAGTTGCTGATTACACATCAGTTTTCAGTGTCACGTGATCCTTCAGAAATCATTCTAATACGCTGATTTTATGCTCAAAAAACATCAACGTCGTGTACCATTTTTTTTACCCCAAAATTCTGATGAATAGAAAGTTCAAAAGAACAGCATTTATTTAAAATATAATCTTTTCTAACATTATAAATGTCTTTGCTGTAATTTTTGATAAAAGTATTTTCTAATTTCTTTCCCCCAAAAATAAAAAAATAAATTCTAACTGACCCCAAACTTTTGAAAGGTAGTGATTAATGTTAATTTCAGATCAATTCTGTTCTTTTGAACTTTCTATTCATCAAAGAATCCTGAAATAAAAATGTAAAAAACTGTTTTCAACATGGATAATAATCAAAAATGTTTCTTGAGCATCATATTATAATAATTTCTGTAGGATCATGTGACACTGAAGACTGGAGTAATGATGCTGTAAATTCAGCTTTGATCACAAGAATAAATTACACTTCACTATATATTCACATAGAAAACTGCTGTTTTGAATTGTAATAATATTTCACAATATTACTGTTTTTTTTGTATTTTTCATCAAATAATTGCAGCCTTGGAGAGCAGAAGAAACTTCTTTTAAAAACATAAAAAACCTTACCGATCTAAAACTTTTGACAGGTAGTGTGTATATATATATATATATATATATAGTGAAATGTTATAACATTTAAAAAATTGTTTTCTATTTTAATACATTTAAAAACGTAATTTATTCCTGTGATGTTAAAGCTAAATTTTCAGCATGATTACTCCAGTCTTCACATTTACATTCACTCATTTAGCTGATTGCTATATATGTCAGAGGTCGCACGCCTCTGGGTCAACTAGGGGTTAAGTGTCAACCCGGGTCTCACACCAAAGGCATGTGTCTGATCCACTGCGCCATCACCACCACCCTCTGTGATCATGTTTAGTGCCGCGTGATCCTTCAGAAATCAGTATACACTGAAGTATATAATAATATAATAACATAATAACACAGAGTTATAAACGCAGCTCTTTAGTTTTTGCCCCCGTCTGTCATGAGCTGAACTCTTCTAGGAACACAAAAGGCCCATTTTCTCTCAAATAATGTGCACAAGTCTGTCTAATCTGTGTTAGTGAGCACTTCTCCTATGAAGATGCGGATTACACAATTACTGCACAGGTGTGCCTTAGGCTGGCCACAAATCAATATTTTACTGCTTATAAATATTTGAAAAACATTATTATGACCAAAGTCATACATGCAGAAACATGATTCTTGGTGGTGACACACCGCAGGAGGTTTTTCCCTTTATGAGGAAACTATATCAGAGACCTGGAGGTGTAATCATCATCATCCTCATCATCATCCTCAGCGGTGTGTGTTGGGGAGTTCGGCACGTCTAACATTGTTTAAACCCTTTTTCACTCTCTCACTCTCATTTCCTCCTTTATTTCCTGTCTTCCTCCATTTCTCTTCCTCATCCCTCCATCTCTCTCTCTCTGTTCCTCTGTTTGTTTGGGAGAGGGTTGGCCTAGTTTTCCGGTCCAGAGAGGATGAGAAAACATTTTCAGCTGGAGGGAATAAAACAAAACACAACCAAACAGAGAAACTCCATATTTAGCTCTACAGCAATGGAGTTGTGTTCACTCGTATGTGTGTGTGTGTGTGTGTGTGTGTGTGTGTGTGTGTGTTCCTGCGAGGTCTGGAGTTTGAGATCATCTCAGAGTACTCTTCGTCACGTGACTCTGTGTGTGTGTGTGTGTGTGTGTGTGTGTGTGTGTGTGTGTGTGTGTGTGTGTGTGTGAGCCGCCCAGGGGAGCTGCAGGTTCTCTGATCTCTCTGTTCTTACTTTCGGGATCTGAGTCTGTGCTTTCCACTGCCAGTTTGGGACTTTTGGTATGTTAGTGTGTGTGTGTGTGTGTGTGTGTGTAAGCAGGTTTTAGGGAAGGGTTAGAGTTTTTAACCCTAATCAAACACACCTGAACCTTCTCAAGCTCTTCGGGATCTCTTGAAGCAGGAGAACGGTGCTGCCGTGTCCCTATACCCTAAAAGTATGTACTAGTTTGTGGAGATAAAGTGCCTACTTTTGAGTGTGTAGCAGAATAGTATAGGCTGAGTGTGTTTAGCGCACAGCTCAGTTGCTTAGTTACGAGCCGTTTAAACTGCCCTGTCAATCATCATCCACATTCAATTTAATTTAATTCCCTGCCATTTGGGAAAAGAAATGTAGTGGCACGTTGTTCTGCCAGTCGTGTGTCTTTTATTCGCATAACTCTCCTTCTGTGTTTGCAATTTGCATAAAGATGCTTTTAAAAGTTAAAGGCAGGGTAGGTGATTTGCTCCAGAAACATGACATTTCTGAAAGTTTCTTCACCAGCAATCACTAACTTAAGTGTTGGAAATGCATTTAAATGCATATATGTCGTCTGTGGAAGGCGTAGGGCCATAAAATGTCCGTCCAATCGTTGCATTCGGTCAGTCACTGCATCAGAACCCTGAACCAAAAAACCACTCCAGCACCATAGCCACTGTGATGTCATATTCAGAGCAGTTTCAACGCTTTTTATGTTTCAATGTCAATTCTAAGTGAATCTGCATTAGTCAGGTGGTACAGGTGATGCTCATTATTATTGTGATGAGGTGGTTTAACCAGAGCCCGTCTAACGGAGAGCTTCGGCACTTCCTATTAGCCCCGTTGTGTATTATCTTGGTTGCAGTTGCATTAGAATTCCACTGGGGGTGATCACGGGCGAGAGCAAAATGAATGGGAGTCTATGGGGCTAAACGGCTAAATGTGTCTCTTTCACCTGCTTGTCGTTAAATCAACATAGATTTTATTGTTGATTCCGCAAGTTCAATATAGATTATAGGCCAAAAGTCGAATGAACGAGTACTTATGTCCGTTTGATCTCTTACAGGTTAGGCCGTTGTTGGCCGGATCACGCTAGCATTCTGCTATTGTGTGACGTCATCACAGTTTTGAACGGATGTTTAGAACAGATAAGTGAACTTAAAAATGCAATTTTCAGCTGAGTGTGTTATCTTAGCCCTCCCTTTTGAATGCAACTTTCAAATTACTTGACAAAAAATTACATCCTGAGAAAAGTGGATTTCTGGGGGTGAAACCCCATTGACTCCCATTCATTCTGCACTCGACCGCGAGCGCCCCCGCATGGACAGAGACGTGTTACTGCAGCCAGTCCAGAAACCGGAAGTAACCAGCCAGTGCCAATTCTCTTCAATTAGACGTTCTCTGGTTTAACGCCGTCTCTTGTGCCGAAGATCATGTGTTTTGAAAGAGGCGTGGCTTTAGAGACGCTCTGAAGGGACAGTGAGATCTAACTCGCTATTGCTAGCATCTCTGAAAATGACCTACCCTACCTTTAATGACCAAATAAATCTTTTCATATCAAACAAATATCAGTAATTTATTATGCTATATGATGCACAACTATATCAGCTTTATTTGATCCCTGCTCATTACATAGCAGCAAGTGTTGTTGTATTTTCATATTTAGGCTGAATGTGTGTGTGTGTGTGTGTGTGTGTTTCAGAGCGCCCCGTGGTCTCCAGCATGCGCCCTGTGTCTGGTCCGGGCCGGCTGGAGTGGATGGTTCCTCTGGTGGTGGTGTCGGCGCTCACCCTGCTCTGCCTGGTCCTCCTGCTGGCCGTCCTGGTGTACTGGAGGTGAGACACTGACGGGTCCACGGGAGTCTCACTGATCTCCTGAGCACTCTCATAGATACACCACTGATTCCGACTCTGATTGAGTCACACAGACGGACGGACGCTCTTAAACACTTCATCTGTTTTATTGCTCTAGAGCTTGGCTACCGTGTGTGTTTGTGTCCGTTTGGATCCTGTAGCTGGTAGTTTATCACTCTGGGGCCCGTGGCGTCCCCGGGGCCCCGAGGGGTGGAATAAAAGCCAGTTAGGAGTGTGTGTAAAGTGTGTGTGATGTGTCTCTGGTGACGGTAAGTAAGATGGAGAGAGGCCGTACTCTTCCCTCAGGGTGTCGCCGTGGTGATGGAGGTGCTGAGGAAACGGTTGCCATGGTCACACCTGAGACTACAGATACGGTGCAGTGTGTACACTTTCGTTCATGCATTTGGAGTCGGGAAGATTTTTCAAATCAAGGCTACATTTATAGCAAAATATAGTCTGCTGCAAAACGACAGCAAAACTGAATTATTATAGTTTAAAATGTAAAACATTTGAAACTTCCTGTTTCAATATAATTTTGAATGTAATTTATTTCTGTAACTTAAAGCTGGATTTTCAGCATCATTACTCCAGTCTCTAGGTCCACTTCCTTCAGAAATTACTACTTGAAATATAATTCTTTTTATCAATGTAATGCATCCTTTATCAATAAAAGTATTAATCTTCTAAATGACCTGAAAATCTTCAAACGGTAAGAAAATTATTAATTTTATTCATCAAGGATGTATTACATTGACCAAAAATTTTACAGAAAAAAAAAAATCTATTTCAAGTTGTAGAATGGTTTCTCTTAAGATATATATATATATATATATATATATATATATATATTAGGACTGTCAAAATGATTAATCGCATCCAAAATAAAAGTTTGTGTTTGCATAATATATGTGGGTGCACTGTGTATAATTATTTTGTATATTTTTAAATACACACACATGCATGTATATTTAAGAAAAAAATATTATTTATATAGAAAATATTTATATTTATATATCATATAAATTATATATATAAATCTATATACAGTATATTCATGAAAATATTTCTTAAATATGTACAAGCGTGTGTGTGTATTTATAATTATACACAGTGCACCCACATTTATTATGTAAACACAAACTTTTATTTTGGATGCAATTAATTGCAATTAATCATTTGACAGCCCTAATATATATATATATATATATATATATATATACATTTATATTATAGTTTTATTATTATTTATTTATTATTAATATATATATATATAATTTTATTATATGAATTAATTGTTATTATTATATTAACATATTATTATTTATACAAATTGTTTATATACACATATATATATATGACCCTGGACCACAAAACCAGTCACAAGGATACAAATTGATATTTATACTGTACACCATCTGAAAGCTTAATAAATAAACTTTCTATTAGTGTATGATTTGTTATGATAAGACAATATTTAGCTGAGATACAACTATTGAAGATCTGGAATCTGAGGGGCCAAAAAATCAAGATATTGAGGAAAGTTTTGTGTTTATGTTGGCGATTGAGCTGAATGATGTTGACCCATCCGATGTACTGTGTTGTTGGGTATTGCCACAGATACGTGACTGGTTTTGAGATCCAGGGTCACATATATAGTGTATGTATATATTAATTTTGATATTATTATTATATTGGTGAGCTCATGATTTATATTTTTATTATGTGTCCCTACATTAGTTTGTAGTTTAACGTATGTTTATGGTTGGCCGTTTGCAACCATGTGGCTCTGGATATGTTCTGTCCTCGAGTGGTCCGCTGATAAAGTCTCCCAGATCTGTAATCTTTGATCTGTGATCAGTAATCTCTGATCTGTGATCTGTGATCTGCACACCGTGCCTCAGTTTAGCCCACCGCTGTGGAGCAGGACTGTGGCAGGACCGTCTCCCCAGGTGTGGGCTCTCCGCCCTGGGCCCGAAGTGGCCGACTGCTCCCTCCTCTGGTGCTCAAGGGTCATGCAGTCGCAGGGGGTCAAATCCTGTCCATCGCCAGATACTGCATGATAACACACACACACATCCATGCAAACACACTTGACCAAGCCCAAAATCTCTCCACAGAGAACACACATCTGTCACAGCAGTCGTAGCCTTGATCAAGGGGACAATAATTAACACACACACACACACACATACATACACACACACACTAGAAAACATAGACATGAAGTGTTATTTGATGATGTTTCTGTTTGGTCAGATCCAAAGGATATTGGGAAGGTATTAGAACAGAAACTTCCCTGTTGTGTGTGTGTGTGTGTGTGTGTGTGTGTGTGTGTGTGTGTGAGGGTCTTTGAGTGTAATCTGCTCAGTAGACTGACTGAGATTACCCTCAGCACTACACGCTAATGTCTCAGTATATCAGATCAGATATCCTTACCTTCTGTCAGTGTGTGTGTGTGTGTGTGAGTGAGTCTGAGTCTCATGCATGTGTACAGGTTTATATGTATGTCTAACCATATGCTCCACATATTTACATTTATTCATTTAGCAGACTGTCTTTTCACGTGTGTGTGTGTGTGTGTGTGTGTGTGTGTGTGGAGGCTAGAGCTGTTCTCCGATTTTGTACATTGAGTTCATTACAATCTGATTATCAATACCTAATCCAATTCTAATCTAAAGAAAGATGTTATTGTATCAGATCAGTTAGTCATTGAATGGACATGATTTACAGACAAACAGGCTTTATTTTGCAATTGACTTTTGGTAGAATCAATATTGTTATTGTTATTTAAAACTATCGAAAATAATTATTATTCATTTATATCAGTGTGTGTGTGTGTTGTCTGAAGTTCACCTGGAAACATTAACTAGGATGTGTCACTTCCTGTGGGCGTGTCAGACACAGTCATTTCCACTGATAAAGCAATGTCTTCATCAAAAGTTGGTATCAAACTTTATTCAGAAAATAATATACATTATTTGAAGCAAAATGTCATAATATATCTTGAATTATTTTACATGCTTGCAAACATCAGAAATGAAGTGTGTGTCAGTTTCCGTTGCGCTTTTATCTGTGATCCGCGGGGAGTGATTGTCTATAGAGACGTCGATGAGGATCTGATGAAACCTCATGATCTACAGCACACACACACACACACACACTGAAACTGCAGTCCTGAGAACAGTTTCATGAGAGACAATGTGATTATTCATTTCAAATCACATTTACAACACAAAATACAACACAAGCCTCTGACGCAATGTCCAGTTGGACTGGTTGAAGTGTGTGTGTGTGTGTGTGTGTGTGTGTGTGTCTTCTGGCAGTGTAGAGTTGGTTTTCACATTGTAATTTCAGCTTTAAGGAATAATTCACACAGAAATAGACGTTCTGTCAGTTTATTTCTATATTGTTCATAAAGTGTATAACTTTTATTAAGCATTGTGAGCTGTCAATGAATCATAAAGTGTATAACTTTCATAATTGGAACAAAAATGTTTTATAGAATGTCCATGCTGAGCCTTCCCCCTCACTGACAGAGACATCAAGCTCCAAATTAGACAAAAAACACCATAAAATGTTGGCCATATTATAACTTTCTGTGAGGAAACACCTTTCACAACACACTCATTTTAGCTTATCCAAACGCGTCTGATCAGGTTTCAGTAAAATATCGGTTTGTTATTCACACCAGGGTTATTATCATTAACTAAAACTATTAAAAACATTTTTGTTTATTGAAATAAAGCTAAAATAAAAAATCAATTTTAGAGAAATATTAGAGAAACTTAAACTAAACGGAACTTATCAGTTAAAGCAGTAAAACTAAATGCAGACTAAAACTAAAATAAAAATACATATAAATAGTAATCAACAAAATAAAAGCACATAACAAAATTAAACCAAATTTTACATGAAAAAAAAAAATAATAATAGTATAAAAATGTGATAAAAAATATCACACAGTTATTGCACGGCTTCACAGGATGAGTTGTCTGAACTAATTTTATTGTGCTTTTATTTTTGGGGAGATTAAGAGTTAAGAATTGACTCGAATTCGATTGTGAACTAGATGTTTGTGGTATCCTTCATTCTCTTAGACAGAAAGAAGAGTTAGGAGTTCAATAGAAGAATGGAGTTGGACATAAAGGAGTGTCCATCTGGAAGGGTGTGTGTGTGTGTGTGTGTGTGTGTGTCTGTGGTTTATCAGATCAGTTGTGGACAGATCTGGGATCAGTGAACTGTTCACGCCTGACCCCAGCAGCTCTAGCTCGTGTGCATGTGATGCGCCTCTCTCCACCCCCTCTCTCTCTCACACACACACACACACACACACACACACACACGGCTGTGTTTGCTCAGCGGCAGCATGCAGTCTCTCTCCGCTCTTGAAATCCCTCGTTCTCTGCAGGGATGAACAGCTTATGTTCTCTGCTGTGCATCAAGTACAGGTAGGACAGACGGCGTCCACAACCTCCAGTTTCTGTAACTTTACAACAGCCGTCTCGTGTGGGCTTTCTCTTTCTGTTTGTTTACTTTTGCTGGATGTGGATTTAGTTTTGTACCTGCTTATCTGTTCTCTTGCAATGTGAAAGAAAGAGGTAAAACCAGTTTACGTCTGTCGGACCTGAAACACTGCCAGTAATCTGTCCTGACAGTCTGTGGCGTTTGCTTCTGAATGGACTTCATACAGACGGATATAGACGTTTAGCTTGAAAACACGTGTATAGAAAATGTTTCACATGGATTTTGGGAGTAAAAAAGTTGTCAAAATTAATAGACAGTATTATAATGTATTTATTTACAGTCATTCATTTATTAATTTAATTCATAACTCAAAGTTAAATGGTTTTTTTTTTATGTGGAGAGTTTGGGTTAGCCTATAACTATGACTTTAAATATGTGTGTCTATATATGAGGAATAGTTTTTTGTTTAATCTCTTTATCATTCAGACTTTCATGGAACACAGAAGAGGAAGTTTAGCAGAATGTTCACTTCAATGTAAATACATAAAGTATGAGTAAAAAATGACTTATTTTGCATTTCAGTGTAGTATATACTGTATAGGCTTGTACTGTAAACACATGATTTCTGTTGTGTGTCTTGAGGAAGTGTGGGACTCTAATCTGCTGTGAGTGTTTGATTTGTTCTTTGAAAAGAGGGTTCAAAGTTCATCTTGATCCTGTCATACGTACCCAACAGACTGTGTTTACTCTGGTGGGGATTGTCACCTAAACCACTCCTCCTCCTGGGAACATCACGTCACCTGACCATCTCTCCTCTCGTCTCTCGTCCACAGGAGGTGTTTCCAGACGGCTCATTTCTACGTTGAGGACAGTAACTCGCCCAGAGTCGTGCCCAATGAGAGCATCCCCGTCATCCCCATCCCAGGTACGTGTCATCTAACAGATCTCAGATCAGCCTAAAGATACATACAGAAGAATTACAGGCGCTTTGATGTGATCAATATGATGAAACAAACATTGTCTTTGTTGCTTACCTGTTGCATTATAGGTAAAAGGTTTGGATTACATACGAGTTTTAAGAGTGCTAAGATTGAACTAACTGTGTCTGTCGTCTTAGTGTGTGTGTGTGTGTGTGTGTGTGTGGAATAGACCTGATCTCGGTGTTCTCCACAGACTGTTATTCTGTGCGATTAGTGTGGAATCTAAAAATCTATTTCTGCATTGATTTTGACATGAAGTGGCTATAATGATGTTTTCAGCTTCTGGGAAACGGAGTAAACCAGCTGTGTTCAAAAGCATGAGGCGCTGGGCATAGGGCCACCTTGTGGTTGATGTCATCAATATTTTCTCTTTCTTATACTGAATGGTACTTACCATTTGAATAAACTCTTAGCCTACTAAATAGTAGACTTCCTCTCACACTATGTGTTGGAGAATGATACGTCAAATCCTTTGACTTTCTATTCTAAGTGTTCATCTGGTGGTCAATAAAATGGGTAATAAAGCTATATGTAATTATGATAATTATATCATAACATTTGACTTGGGTCAGTAAACAACCACCCAGAACACACTAGCACTGCCTAAAGGCCAATTCACTCCACACAGACAAACGCCAACAAACGTGCTTATTCCCTATTAATGTCCTAGCAACCACTCACAACACCAAATCAACACACCCTGGCAACCATCCACGACTCCTTATTAATCTCCTAGCAACCACTCGTAACACCTTATCAACAGACCCTAGCAACCATCCACGACTCCCTATTAATGTCCTAGCAACCACTCACAACACCAAATCAACACACCCTGGCAACCATCCACGACTCCTTATTAATCTCCTAGCAACCACTCGTAACACCTTATCAACAGACCCTAGCAACCATCCACGACTCCCTATTAATGTCCTAGCAACCACTCACAACACCAAATCAACACACCCTGGCAACCATCCATGACTCCCTATTAATGTCCTAGCAACCACTCACAACACCAAATCAACACACCCTGGCAACCATCCATGACTCCCTATTAATGTCCTAGCAACCACTCACAACACCAAATCAACACACCCTGGCAACCATCCACGACTCCCTATTAATGTCCTAGCAACCACTCGCAACACCTTATTGACAGCCTGGAAACCATCCACGACTCCTTATTAATCTCCTAGCAACCACTCGCAACACCTTATCAACAGACCCTAGCAACCATCCACAACACCCTATTAATGTCCTAGCAACCACTTGCAACACCTTATCGACAGCCTGGAAACCATCCACACGACTCCTTATTAATCTCCTAGCAACCACTCGCAACACCTTATCAACAGACCCTAGCAACCATCCACGACTCCCTATTAATGTCCTAGCAACCACTCGCAACACCTTATCGACAGCCTGGAAACCATCCACGACTCCTTATTAATCTCCTAGCAACCACTCACAACACCAAATCAACACACCCTGGCAACCATCCACGACTCCCTATTAATGTCCTAGCAACCACTCACAACACCAAATCAACACACCCTGGCAACCATCCACGACTCCCTATTAATGTCCTAGCAACCACTCGCAACACCTTATCAACAGACCCTGGCAACCATCCACGACTCCCAATTAATATCCTAGCAACCACTCGCAACACCTTATCAACAGACCCTAGCAACCATCCACGACTCCCAATTAATATCCTAGCAACCACTCGCAACACCTTATCAACAGACCCTAGCAACCATCCACGACTCCCAATTAATATCCTAGCAACCACTCGCAACACCTTATTTTCTGATGGGGCCGATAATGATCACTGATGTTTAAATGGACATATATCCGCCGATACGGCTATGGTGGGTGATAAAGGTCGTACAGGTCTAGCTGCTGAACTCATGACACTTTTAGAATGGAGTTCCTGTTGTTAAGGAAAGGTTTTCTGAAATGGTCTTGTCATGTTTACTGTAAGCTGGATTGGACGAGTGTGAGCTACATTGAAGGGTTTGTTGAAAATAGAAACAGTTGATGTTTTGAGAGTCCCTGTTGTTTATCTGGTCCCTCTGCATGTTCACACTTTTACATGCATACACATTGGCCAATTAAGGTTAGGAGCCGTGTGTGTGTGTGTGTGTGTAGATAATTAGTTAGAGCATAGCGTGCAACAGAAGTGGACAGTGTGTGATTTTTCCGGGTCTGAAGGCCCAGGTCCGGGTTACCCAGATCTTAATGCAATGAGAGCCATTGATTTGCTCAGGCTTTCCCATAAGCACTTCATTGGACCCGATTGTCATTGTTGTGAGGTGGCACGGCTCACAATAACAGTGGCACAGTGCCCTCAATCCAATTTAGGCGTCTGTGTTCCAGCTTGGCGAGGACTGGCCTCGGTATTTACAAAGATCCATTTAGTGTGGACAGCAGCCTCTCTCTCTCCGCTGGCTCCGGCTCAGATGGCGCTTCGAGTTCACTGTCCTTTCAAACATGGACGCTTTCCTGCTTAAATAGAGCCTTCAGTTTCTGGCTGAATCTCCCAGTTTGTTTCTGGCGTCAGTGGATGCCAAAATTCGTTTGTTAGCAGTATTCAGCTGTAGACACTTTCGGAAAAAGACAGAAGGTGTGTGAACCACCTCTATTAGTGTTAAAGGGATAGTTCAAGCCTAAAGTGTGCCAAGAAAACATCCCCACACCATTACACCACCACCACCAGCCTGCACAGTGGGAACAAGGCATGACTGTAAAAAAAAGATGGACGACGCTCCTTCGCTCTTTTCCATCAGAGAGAACCGAAGCCGCCAGTGTCTCGATATGACGCTGACATCTTAAACTTGCGTGTTTCGGGACCGGTCATGCGCAGGAAGTAAAGCCGCGAAATCAAGGCCGCGCCCTCATTCCCGCTGAATCAAACGCAAGCACACGCCCCGCACTTTCATTAAGTGTCCAATGATGCAATGATGTCCGCTGATTGCAGAACCTCGTAAAAATAAGGTAAATACAACTACTAACCACATAATCAACATTATTAAAAAAAGTCAGCTGGCGCTTTCAGTGACTACCTCGCTCAGAGAACCTGTCAATCATGATGTCAGAGCACCGTTTTTATCGTCACATAACTAACTAAAAACAAACTTATTTTAAAAACGAACACTTGAAATTACATCAACGTGACAGAAAGTACAGTAAATGACGGAAACTATCTTTGGAAAAGGGATACGTGAAGTGTAATTTAATTGTTTAGTTGGTCTCGCGTCCCATTGAATAACATGGGGAGGCGGGGGTTATGAGCTATACTAGGACCGGCCACAGGGGGGCGATCGAGACGTTTTGGCTTCACTTTTGAGGGCTTGTGCGGCACGCTTGATCTCAACAGAAATCCAGACTCATCAGACCAGGCAACATTTCTCCAGTCTTCAACTGTCCAGTTTTGGTGAGCTCTTGCAGATTGTGGCCTCTTTGTCCTATGTGTAGTGGAGATGAGTGGTACCCGGTGGGGTCTTCTGCTGTTCAAGGTTGTGTGTGTTGTGTCTTTGCTGCATACCTGGGTTGTAACGAGTGGTTATTTCAGTCAAAGTTGCTCTTCTATCAGCTTGAATCAGTCGGCCCATTCTCCTCTGACCCCTGATTTTAACTATAATTATACATTTTACTTGTAACTTTGTTTTAACCAAATTAAATTGAAATGATTACAGGCTTTTTTTCTGTCTTGATTTGAGTTAAATTAGGGTTTACCCTGATATGGGTGTGTGTGTGTTTATTTTTGTCGTTATCCGTGTGTATTTAGACTCGTGACAGTTTGTTGGCTTGTTGTACGTGTGGGGCGTGTGAACCGCTCAGGTTTGGTTGGTGTTTCACCGTGACTGATGTTGAACAGTAAACACATTGAGTTGTTGATTATCTTATCATCATGTAAACCATATAAAGCACGGGTGCTGCCGTTAAGAAGGATCAATCCACCGGCACTGGAGACGCTTCTATGCTATTATTCCTCCCAGAATTTATAGTCAAATCTGTTGTATCAAAACTATGACACAGCATAAAAAAATATAATATTTTTGATAATATTACCTATGGCAAAATATTTGAAAATATCTAAAAAAAAATTGAAAATTGTATATAATTGAATAAAATATTGAATAACAATTATATTAATCATTGTATTTATTGGTAAATCATTTTTATTTATCTTTTTTTCTCTGATGTTTTATCCAAAACAATTATTGCATATTTTAAGCCGGCACACTGACTTCACTTTGATGGTAATTCTTGTTTTCTTATTAAAAAACAAAAGCAAAAATGCATCTCTGTTTTGTGTCTGTTTCAGATGATATGGAGGCCATCCCAGTGAAACAGTTTATCAAGCATGTGTCTGAACTCTACTCAAACAACCAACACGGCTTCTCAGAAGATTTTGAGGTAAGATCTACACACACACACACACATTTCCAAGAGTGTCCCGTCTCCACGACTCAGACTCCTGTAAGCAGAGGTGGCGTCTCGTGTGGCTCCTCCTCGGCCTCGCTGCAGTGCTCCTGCTGACAGGTCTGAGAACAGCTGGGCCGGGATCCTCCGCAGATGTTGGTTTCTGGCAGGACAGGCCAGTCCAACTCAGCCTGTGTGAGAATGAATTAGGCCATCTGAACGCTGGCATCTTTTTCACACTGAGTTTGGACTCTCTCTGCTGTGTGTGTGTGTGTGTGTGTGTTAGTGCAGCGCAGAAGCCAGAAAACTACACAACATTCTGTCTGACTAATGCGATGGCGGTTTGTACCAGGATGACTGGTAATTAGTTAACCATTGAGTCTTGGGCCACAGCGTCTGCTGGTGCTTTCAGGTGAATATCAATGAATGATTTCAAATCTTTGGCAACCGATGACCGCTGCAGGTCACACACACACACACACACACACACACACATGCTGGTTTATTGTGTCCTCTGTGGATCAGGATTCTGGAAGATCCTGATGTTCTGGAGGTCTAGCTTTGGCCGTGCACACATTAGTGCATTTGTACTCAGATGCGTTGACAAATGTTTGCGGTTGTAGACAAAATGGATTGTTTCACCAAACATGAATGATTTAAATATCAGCAGTTCAGCGAAACAATCTGAGCCCGTCTTCAGTTTGAAGTGTGCACCACAAACACTACCTGCTTATGATTTATTTATTCTATCATTTCATTTTATTTTATAATAAATATTAAGATTATGTGGGGCAAAAATACTTCATTTAAATTATTTAAATGTATTTAAATTATTATTTGTAACATCATTTCTTTATGTATAAATTATACAGATTTTGCTTAAATATGTGTGCTGGCTAATTTTAATTAGTTTAGTTCAAAGTTAATCTTATATTTAAAACATAAAAAATTTAAACAAATATAAATTTAATAGTTAATTTTGGAAGTTACTTAACTTAACTAAGCTTAGCCTAATTTAATTTAATTTAATTATTAATAGCTTGCTTTGATAGGTTGGAAAACTCTAGGTAGTTTAGTTCAAATTTAATCTTATATTTAAAGCTACACTGTGTGATTTTTACTCCCATCTAGTGGTGAAAAAAAATATGACCATCCATTTGAGTATTAGTTTCTGTTCCTCTCAATTCCGATTTCGTTTTAACTCCCATGGTGGCCAATGTACTCCAAGATTAACATGGCTTCCAGTTCGACCTCGTCCATGAGTGTTAACTCAAACGTAAACGCGAAAGGCGAAGCTTGAATTAACGGGCATGTCCCTCTTTGGCTAATGTACTTTCAAGATGGAGGCGACCGACATTAGAACCCCTTACCTGTATGTGTTTTCAATGGCATATTATACACTCACGAGAATACATTATTACTTGAACGAAGTAAATATACATTAATGAGCACATATATTTTTGAAAGAACTAAGTGTTTTTAGCTAAGAATAAACTAAAAGAGTTACACAGTGTAGCTTTAAGACATTAAAAATTAAAACAATTATATATTTAATGATTCATTTTGGAAGTTTAAATTAAATTAAGCATAAAGCATGTTTTGTTTTTAAGTACCTTCATTTTTCTAAATATATTAGTTTAATTAATGATAATTGATTGGCAGTCCTGTTGTTTTCTCCGCACACCCGTTAGTAAGTCCAGTTGCCAGTCCAGAACTCTGTGTGTCTGTTGTGTTTGTAAAAATGGAAAGGCAAATCTTTGCATTTAGTTTGAGAGTAGGTCTTCTACTTTCCCTGGTTTGGAGAAGAGAATGAGTGGAGGAGGTGTGTGGGCCACTAGGGCTCCTCTGAGGGCCTCACTTGGCCCCTTTGTTCCTCAGAGAGTGTGTGCCTGCACTCATGTGGGCTTGATGGACATGGGGAAGCGGTTCCTGGGGGTTTCTGGTGCGGTTTCCCCTCAATGAACTCCTCTGTGGTTCCTGACCCCTCTCTCTCGCCTCCACTACTCCAGCAGAGGACAGCTGAGCCAAACCCCCTTTGGACGGAGCCCCGAGGCCCCTGACAAGTGGCTTTGTGCAACTGGGGCCGAAACAAGAAGCACTTGCAGTGATCATGGGAACAGGGGGGACAGGGGACGGGGGGGGATTGGCCTGGACAGGCACAGGGATTATATGCGACCCCTATATGAGGGGTTTAGATGGACTGACTCAAAGGGAAAAAAGCAAGAGGACACTTGGAGAAGCTTGGCATTCAGCTGAAAACGAGAGGAGAGTGAACACCAGAGAGAGGAAGACAGAGTCCTGTAGTTTTGTTGCAGTTTTGTGTTATTTATGTAGTTTTAATGCTCTTTAAAGGCAACATAAAATCATTTTTGTCTATTCCAAAAAATGTGATTGGTTCCTCAACCTCTTTTATGATAATATCAACTCTTTTAATAAACGGAAGATGGATTGATGGACGTCAATAATCAAAACTATACAAAGAATGTCTTGTTTTGATCTTTTGCTTAATTAATACAAATAACCCAAGCACATCATCATAATTTGGAGGATTGAATTAATATATAAGATTGAATGTGTTCATTAGATGTAAGATTTCCGAGAACATGCATACAACCCCTCGGCACCAGATTCAATTATTCCAAATAAAAATGACTTTAACCCATTCTAGAGTTTTTGAAATTCACAGACATCAAATAATCAATAGATATTTGATATTTACTAAGATAATTTCCTGACACTGAATTGTGACATTTGGTCAATAAACACAAACTTCTGTGTTGATGTTCTCTTCATGTTAACCATTGGGATGTTCTCCTCGTCTAGCTCACCGCCTCGTTTCCCAGCAGGCTTTGCGGTTTACTTAAAAGCACACTTTTCATCATCCACTCACTTCCCAATGTAACTGTTTTCTTTTCGAATACTTTTCGAATACTTGAGGAAGTAAACGGGCTAGTTGATGTGTTGTTCATGCTGACACCTCTCGTAAAACCATCAGATGACATCACAGGTCACATGACCAGAACTGACAGTGGCGGACCATCCTCACATACATGCTGACTTTATCCTGAGAGCAGCTCTTCTCCGAATGTGAGCGGGGGTTAGTAACCAGAAACCACACAGGTGTGTGTGTGTGTGTGTGTGTGTGTGTGTCATTGAAAACAGCCCCGGGCAGTTCTTGTGGTTTTAAACGACCGTGTCCACACACACCCTGCAAACGCAACACAAACCAATACACACGCAGACAATTCCTGTTTTCTGGCACGTCACTTCAACATCTCAGTGTTTTTGTTGTTCATACACTGTTGGTGTGTGTTTATTGAGAGATCTGTGAACAGCAGTGCTGAACTCATGGACACCATCCCTGCAAACTACACACAATCTGTGTAAAGGCACAGTAATCGGACGGCACGTGTAAGCAAACTGGAAAAGCCAATTATAAAAACAATTTATATACTGTTCAAAAAGTATTTGTTGACTTGTTGGTTCATGTCGTATTAATGTGTCGAACCACATGGACTCGATTAGATGAATCACTGTGTCACATGTTAAGTATCTGATGAATGAGTAAATGTGTGCTGGAACTGTGTTTTTATTTGTTTGGTAATATTATTATTTTTTGTTAAATAGGGGCAGGTTTAAATAAGCTAATTGCTTCTGCCTGCTCCTTCTCAAACACATTTTTATTTTTATTCTTTTTTTTTTTTGTTCCTGTTTTGGTATTATTATATTATTATTATTACTATTATTATTATTATATATTATTATTACTATTATTATTATTATTACTATTATTTACTGTATATATACTAGGGCTGTGCAAAAATTAATTGTGATTAATCGCATCCAAAATAAAAGTCTGTGTTTACATAATATATTTGTGTGTGCTGTATATAGTTATTTTGTATATATAAATACCTATGCATGCATGTATATATTTAAGAATTATTTGCACTTAAATTCTGTTTATATATATATATATATAAATACATGTATATAAATATAAATATTTTATATATGAATAACACATTTTCTTAAATATATACGTGCATGTTTTATAATTATTTTGTATATATAAATACACACACATGCATGTATATATTTAATAATTATTTGCACTTAAATTATGTATATATATATATATATATATATATATAATATATATATATATATATATATATATATATATATATATATACATAATCTATATTATATAAATATAAATATTTTATATATGAATAACACATTTTCTTAAATATATACATGCATGTGTGTGTATTTATAGATACAAAATAATTATATACAGCACACACAAATATATTATGTAAACAGACTTTTATTTTGGATGCGATTAATCGCAATTAATTTTTGCACAGCCCTAATATGTACATATTTATTTTTTGGTGGTTGTGTTTTACTTTGTGGTTTTAATTATTGTTTTGTTGTTGAGTACTGTATCTATGTTGATTGTTTGAGACAAATAATAAAGAAAGAATGAATGTAAATGTAAACTTCAGCGGTGGATCTCTGCTTCTACATCTGTGTGTTCTTGAGGAACTCTGTGGAAATCACTTGGTTTGAGTTTTGGGGAAATTACATTTCTTTCTTTCCTGCTCTTTGAGTGTTATGTGTATGAAAAAGAGTTTTGTATGATGAAAAACTGAAAATGAGATGTGTGTGTGTGTGTGTGTGTGTAGGAAGTGCAGCGCTGCACGGCGGATATGAAGATCACATCAGAACACTCCAATCATCCGGACAACAAGCACAAGAACAGATACATCAACATCATCGCCTGTGAGTCTCTGTCCGCCTCCGACCGCTCTCTCTCTGTGTTTCATTACAAATGTTATTATAGCAGCGATGCATTCATCTGATCTAAAATCACAGTCAAGACATTTATAATGTTACAAAAGATTTCTGTATCAAATCCCTGTTGTTCTCTGGAGCTTTCAGTTCATCAAAGAATCCTGAGAAAAGTCTGTCATGGTTTCCACAGAAATCTGAAGCAGCACAACTCTTATCAACATCGATAATAATCATAAATGTGTCTTGATCAGCAAATCAGAATGATTTAAAATGATTTCTGAAGGATCATGTGACACTACTGGAGTAAAGATGCTGAACAATACATTTTAAATACATTTCAAAATAGAAAACAGTCATTTAAAGGAGTAGTTCACTTTTGAAAAAACTTTTGCTGATAATTTACTCGCCCCCGTGTCATCCGAGATGTCCATGTCTTTCTTTGCTCAGTCGAAAAGAAATTAAGGTTTTTGATGAAAACATTCCAGGATTTTCTCCATATAATGGACTTTAATGGGGACCAAACGGTTCAAGGTCCAAAAGACAGTTTCAGTGCAAACTGTTCAAAGGGCTTTAAACGACACCAGACGATGAATAAGGGTCTTATCAAGCGACACGATTGGTTATTTCAAAACTTATTACAAAAATGTAACTTTTTTAAGGACAAATGCTAGCCTTGCTCTATCCTGCGAGGCGCGTTTGTAACGTCACGTAATACGTAATTACGTTCAAAAGGTCACGGGCGACGTAGCCGGAAGTACAGAATCAAAATCGTCCGACATCGTTGTTTTACCTTTTAATTCCTTTTTTTGTAAACGGCGTTTGAGTTAGTTTGCACGTTCAACCTATGCGTTCAACTTGTAAACACCGACTCTGTACTTCCGGCTACGTCGCCCGTGACCTTTTGAACGTAATTACGGATTATGTGACGTTACAAACGCGCCTCACAGAATAGAGCAAGGCTAGCATTTGTCCTTAGAAAAGTTACATTTTTGGGATAAGTTTTGAAATAACCGATCGTTTCGCTTGATAAGACCCTTATTCATCGTCTGGAATCGTTTAAAGCCCTTTGAACAGTTTGCACTGAAACTGTCTTTTGGACCTTGAACCGTTTGGTCCCCATTGAAGTCCATTATATGGAGAAAATCCTGGAATGTTTTCATCAAAAACCTTCATTTCTTTTCGACTGAAGAAAGAAAGACATGGACATCTTGGATGACACGGGGGTGAGTAAATTATCAGCAAAAGCTTTTTAAAAAGTGAACTACTCCTTTAAATTGTAATAACATTTCAAAATATGACTGTGCTTTTGATCAAATAAATGTAAAAATTGATCAAACTTAAACTTAATGATGATGATCTGGTTATCTTCCATATTTTGACAAGGTTTCAAGTGAGCATTTTGTGCTTCATCGGAGGCAATATTTAGTCATAATGTTTCCAGAGTTTTGTTTGCATGTTGTGGTGTCGGACGTGTCCCTCACCGTCCATCTCTCGCTCTTCCTCCAGACGACCACAGTCGAGTGAAGCTCCGGCCTCTGGCGGGCAAAGACTCCAAACACAGCGACTACATCAATGCCAACTACGTGGACGTGAGTGCTGTCTGCAGACGTGAGGGCTTCGAGTAGTCCGAGTAATCAGCTGACCGTGTGTGTGTGTGTGTGTGTGTGTTCCTGCATCTCTCTCCTCTTCAGGGCTACAACAAACCCAAGGCCTACGTCGCCGCTCAGGGTCCGCTCAAGTCCACGTTTGAGGACTTCTGGAGGATGGTGTGGGAACAGAACACCGGCGTCATCGTCATGATCACCAACCTGGTGGAGAAAGGCCGAGTGAGTCATGTGACAGCCATCACAGTTTCCCAATGGCTCGTTTCGTATGGCCTCTGTAAACCACGTGTCCCTGTCGTGTGCGTCTCACAGAGGAAATGCGACCAGTACTGGCCGACAGAGAACAGCGAGGAGTACGGGAATATCGTGGTGACGCTGAAGACAACCAAAGTCATGGCGTGCTACACACTCCGCATCTTCACCATCAGAAACACCAAAGTAAAGAAGGTAAACTTTTCTCATTCTCACACCAAAACACACACTGATCGTGAAATGGTCATTCAATAAAATTGGTGTCTTTATTTACTACGTATGTGTTAAAAAAACACCAATATAGACAATTTCTGAAACGCATGAACAAAAAGCCAGTATTTGTTTTTTTTACGTTATACCCATGTATTTCCAACCTCTCCTTGTTCTAATAGCAAATACTCAATTTGATGAACATACAATAGAAATACATTCACATACAACAGTCATTTAGCAGACGCTTTTATCCAAAGTGACTTTCAAAGGATGAGAGCAATAGCAGCAGTGAAACTGACAGTAGGACAGTAATATGCTGTGGCAGTCCCAGTTCAGTCGAACACAGTATACGTCAGTTAGTTTTATTGATTTATTTTTTTAACTCAATGCAATCATTAGAAGAACTTTTTTGGTCCGGAGACTTCCACTGAAGATACATGTATATGTATTTCTTAATTATATTTAGACCACTTCCATTATTGGTTGCTATCAGACTGTGTGACTTTCAGCCGGTATAACAAAAAGTGTTTATGAAAAACATCGCCTATCCTTCATCTACCCTACATTAGATATAAACATTACATTATATAAATATATATACCCAACATTATAAACCAAACATTTAAACATTATATACTACATTACACATTATACCCTACATTATATATAAACATTATATACCCTACATTTAAACATTACACTAAAAAATGCTGGGTTGTTTTAACCCAACTTTGGGTCAAATATGGACTAACCCAGCCGTTGGGTTAAATTTTTACATTACATTTTTAACCCAACATTTTGGGTTTGTCCATATTTGACCCAACATTGAGTTAAAACAACCCAGCATTTTTTAGAGTGTATATACCCTACATTTAACCATTATATACCCTACATTTAAACATTGAAACGCTTGTTATTGTGATTTGGACTCTATGAAGCACCTTATAATTTGACCACATGACTTGTTTGTTAAATTAATGTTAAATTAAACTGTTGAACCGGTTCCCTGTATTGATTAGTTTTTCCTTCATGAGGGGTCCTAAAATACATTTAGTTTGAGATGGTATGATGTGTGTGGTAGTTTCTTCTTTTATGTGTTTAGTGTTTGATATATAGTTGTTTTGTGTTAGTCCGTCATTGTTCTGACCTGTGAGCCGCAGTGTTTTGGCCGTTTGTGGTGTTCCTGCCCTTTGTGTTCTTTGGTTCCTGTTTGCTTTGTTAAATATCCTGCATTAGTTCCTCTTCTCCTCAATGCCATTTAACTCCTAACAACAATCTTTGTCTATTATGCAGATAGATATGGTTTCATAAGCATCCGTTTTAAAATCACCTCATCAAACTGGAGAAGGCACTCATAATAATGGTTTGACCTGTGTGAAGGATTATGGCTAGGCATTGAAAGTCTGAAGGAGTGTATGTGAGGTCGGAGAGAGTGATCCGCTCTCTCTGTAAATCTCCTTCATAATACGCAGAGCCCCATCACGGATAAGAATAAGGCTGTTTTTATAGCAGCTGTTAGGTTTGAGGTTAGCTGCCATCTTTTTAATGCCACAAGGAAAAGTGCATGCATGGTGATGTATGGTTTTACAAAAGCTGTGCAATCGTATCACACATCAGTGCGGCAGGTTTGAAGTACATCTCTGATCTCCTTTCAGCCCACCATTATGTTTTTAGCAATCTCAGGTCAACCTGTAGTCTACAGCTGACACGTCTGAAATGAAAAGGAGATTGTGCTTTTTCAGCTTTGGAACAATCTGCCATCTTACATAAAGACTGCACCTTCATACATTGATTTTAAATTGTTGCTTAAAACCCTCTTATTTACTGCTGCGTATGGTCATACACGGCTAGTGCACCTAGTGCACCTAGTGCACCTAGTGCTAGTGCATTGTTTATTTGTGGTTTTATGGATACTTGTTTACACTTTGGCCAACAGCTTTAAATGTGCTCTATAAATGAATATGACTGACTGACTGACTGACAGGGTTATTTGAAGATGAGGGTTATTAATCGGGGGTCTGGGTTTAATGACTGTCAGATACAATCGCACAAAAGCATTCTTGCCAGGGCCAAGTTTCTGAAAATACCCTCAAAAATGTCCTCAATAATCCTAAAAAAGTCAGTTTTACTTTGTTTATTGTTTTGCTTTGTTTTTTGTTTTTTTTTAGGGGATTTTTATTTATTTATTTATTTAATTATTTAATTTTGGAGTGGTTTTGGTTTGAGGGGATTTTTATTTATTTATTTATTTATTTATTTTTGGAGTGATTTTGTTTTGGGGGGATTTTTATTTATTTATTTGTTTGTTTATTTTTGGAGTGTTTTGTTGTGGGGGATTTTTTTGTTTTTATTTATTTAATTTATTTATTTATTTTTTTGAATGGTTTTGTTTTGGGGGGATTTTTATTTATTTATTTATTTATTTTTGAGTGGTTTTGTTTTGGGGGGATTTTTATTTATTTATTTATGTATTTATTTATTTATTTATTTATGGAGGGGTTTTGTTTTGTGGGGATTTTTATTTATTTATTTATTTTTGGAGTGGTTTTGTTTTGGGTGGATTTTTTTATTTATTTATTTATTTTGGAGTGGTTTTGTTTTGGGGGGATTTTTATTTATTTATTTATTTATTTTGGAGTGGTTTTGTTTCGGGGGGATTTTTATTTATTTATTTATTTATTTTTGGAGTGGTTTAGTTTTGTGGGGATTTTTGTGTCTCGATTTGTTTTATTTTAAAAACCGCAGACGTCTGTGTTGTTCTTCTATGAAGTGTGGTGTGTAGTGGTGAGACGTTGGTGTGGTCATGTGTGCAGGGTCAGAAGGGAAACGCCAAGGGCCGTCAGAGTGAGAGGAGCGTTCTGCAGTATCACTACACCCAGTGGCCGGACATGGGCGTCCCCGAGTACACCTTACCTGTGCTCACCTTCGTCAGGAGGTCCTCTGCCGCTCAGACCCCAGAGATGGGCCCCATGCTTGTACACTGCAGGTAACACACACACACTTCCACTGGCTCATTTAATGGCTAAACGGAGCAGTTTTACATGTCATTGATGTGTTTTCCGCATCAGCGCTGGTGTGGGCCGGACGGGAACTTACATCGTGATTGACAGCATGCTACAGCAGCTGAAGGATAAAGGCTCAGTCAACGTGCTGGGCTTCCTCAAACACATACGAACTCAGAGAAACTACCTGGTCCAAACGGAGGTGCGTCACCAGTCCACATCCGTCCCGTGTGTGTCGTCCAGCACGTCTCTCAGGCTCTCTGCTGTGTGTGTGTGTGTGTGTTTAGGAGCAGTATATTTTCATCCACGATGCCTTGATGGAAGCCATTCTGGGTAAGGAGACAGAGGTGCCCTGCAGTCAGCTGCACAGTTACGTGAACAGCATCCTGACGCCGGGGCCAGGGGCCAAAACACGGCTGGAGAAGCAGTTCAAGGTGCGGACCATCTCTCTCCTCATGCAAAGGCATTTCCATCCAAGCTGACTGCAGAACAGATGTTTTTAGCATATCAGAAGATACGAATTTTGAATGAAATTGGTTCAGTTTTATCAGCTAATACTGGTTTGCACACTGTGACTTACGGCCCGGGTCTGACAGCTTCTGTGTGGGTAAAATGTGTGATATTTCATGAGTTTATAAAATGTTTTATTGAGCCTTGAAATTCTGACGTTTTATGGTTCTGTTTGGTTCAACCCTGAATATAAATCCTCACCATGTTTTCTTGGGTCGGCTGTGACTGCGGCCGTATTTCCGTCCGGTTGAGTTCCTAAGATTAGAATTGCAATACTTTAATGTCATGAATCTGAGTTTGTTTTGTCTTTTAATTAGGGTTGTCAAACGATTAATTGCATCCAAAATAAAAGTTTGTGTTTACACAATATATGTGGGTGCAATGTGTATAATTATTTTATATATATAAATACACACACATGCTTGTATATATTTAAGTAATATTTTCATGTGTATAGATTTATATATAATTTATATTATATATAAATATCAATATTTTATAGGGCTGTGCAAAAAATAATTGCGATTAATCGCATCCAAAATAAAAGTCTGTGTTTACATAATATATTTGTGTGTATATAATTATTGTAATTGTATATTAATTGTATATAATTATTTTGTATATATAAATACCTATGCATGCATGTATATATTTAAGAATTATTTGCGCTTAAATTCTGTATATATATATATAAATACATAATCTATATTATATAAATATTTTATATATGAATAACACATTTTCTTAAATATATACATGCATGTGTGTGTATTTATATATACAAAATAATTATATACAGCACACACAAATATATTATGTAAACACAGACTTTTATTTTGAATGCGATTAATCGGAATTAATTTTTGCACAGCCCTAATATTTTAAATATAAATAATTTTTTTCTTAAATATACATGCATGTGTGTGTATTTATATAATAATTACACACAGTGCACCCACATATATTATGTAAACACAAACTTTTATTTTGATTGCGATTAATCACGATTAATTGTTTGATGGCCCTAGTTTTTCCTAAATCTTATGTTTTGTTAAAAGTAAAAGAGTTCAACTGTTTGTTGTTTTTTCCTCGTTTTGTTTGGTCTATTGAGCCCTGTGGTTCATAAACTGCAACTGCACATATTCCTGTTGAATTCTAAGGGTCATGTGATGTATTTGTTGTAATTGTTCCTCTTGTGTACAGTTGGTGACTCAATGCAATGCAAGATTTGTGGAGTGCTTCAGTGCTCAGAAAGACTGCAACAAAGAGAAGAACCGCAACTCTTCTGTTGTCCCCTGTGAGTAACGTATGTAAATACCTAAATGTAATTGATTTATTGTTTATTGTGTACTGTGGCCATTTCCTTTTCTTTTTTATTCTGTTTCTCATACCCCGGCCCTTTACGATAATTATCTCCACTCATATCCTAGTATCTGAACTGCAGCACATATTTCAGACCTGTTTGAGCTAATGAGATCACCTGCTCTTATTCTGCGTCCTGATTGGCTGTTTTTGTCCCCCTCAGCGGAAAGAGCACGTGTTGGTCTCGCACCGCTGCCTGGAATGAAAGGCACTGATTACATCAATGCGTCTTATATAATGGTGAGTGCACAGTTAAACACTAACCTGCACTGGATTAGCACTCGGTGTTCTGGGAAAAACAGATCTGCTTCACCATTGGAAGAATGAACATTTGAAGTAATGTTTGCACTTTTTTTTTCAAACGCAAACTTCTCACTGTAGTTAAGCATTTTATCCTCTACTTGGTGATATCCTAAGCCCTGAGGGTTTATTTAAGTGACTGAAAGTAAATGTTGTTTACTGCCTGACAGCCAAAATTGATTGGTCCTTTTGTTTTTTGAACGTTTTCTTACTACTACTAGGGCTACTACCGGAGCAACGAGTTCATCATTACCCAGCATCCCTTGCCTCACACCACTAAAGACTTCTGGAGGATGATCTGGGACCACAACGCTCAAATCATCGTCATGTTACCAGACAACCAGGGCCTGGTGGGTATTCAGGAGCTTTACGCTAATCTTAGAGACTATGCTCCTCATGGTTGCGGGCCATTCCACCGAATGGGTGACATTTGTCAACTTTATTTTTGATCTTTCTCAACATTGAATCTAATACTACACATATTTAACTATTCAAAATGTGTATTGGTCAATCTCAGTCAACTTTATTTATTTTTTTACAAGGTTTAAGCAGAATATGGACGTATGTTTTCTCTATCCTATTACCGAAAATCATTTAAAAAGCAAGTTTAGAAGCATGTCGATTAATTCCTTTGTTTTCCCCACAAGAAAGTGTTTATTTTAAAGACATTGTTGGTTATATGTTCAAAAATAGATATTTGTGCCAATAAAACCACTATTAAATCAAGGTGTATTTTAATTTAAAAAAAAACACACAAAGGCATTTTTTCATTTTAGAGACGGCCGAAGCCTCAAGCTTATAATTGTTTTTAGAATTAATTCATTACATAATTGTATAAATTATAGGCCAAACAAAACTGATCAAAATAGTGCTTTAAATTAATTTTTTTAGCAAAAGAAAAAAAAAATAGTAACAGGACTGAAAGTAACAGGATTGAGTTTTTAAGCAAAACGTTATCAAATATATGGCATATGGCCACATAGCATTGATGCTAATCGCGTGAGGACACTGAGCCATTTCTAGTGCCTGACCAAAAGTTCATATTTTAAAAATAAAACAATTAAATCTAAGAAAAAGTTTAAGTAACAGGACTGTATGTTCAGATTGACCTTCTCATTCAAACATACAGAAATGACTTATAGTCGTCCCATTGCCTTCAGGAGATCCAGATGATGCAACTTCCTGTTGGAAATGCGTCTCGTGGAATATTCCACGTTTTTCAGACGGGGGGATGTAATAGTCTAAACAGGACTGAGTGAAAACCTGGGGACATGACTAAAATGTGTATTTTATCTCAAATATTAGATCAAATGTTTTTTTTAAAGCAGTTTGGATATAAAGTCACACAACAATGCAAGAAAAATCAGATTTCTGAAGGATTTTAATCATATTTCATAGAGATGCAGAAAATGCTATTTTTTAGTGTTCTGTGTCATTTTTATTAATGTTTTTAATTAAATATTTTAAATGTGTAGTTAGCTTAATGTGCATGACATTTTGCTTAATAATAAAATGTGTTTTGGAGTTAATTTTCATGCAGTTTTAATGTCCTGGGGACAGAACTGGATTGGCTCTAGTAAGAGTGTGTGATTGCTCAGTGTTGGCGTTTGCTCCCGCAGGCGGAGGACGAGTTTGTGTATTGGCCGAGTCGAGAGGAAGCCATGAACTGCGAGGCGTTTACAGTCACGCTTATCAGTAAAGACAGACTCTGTCTCTCCAATGAAGAGCAGATCATCATTCATGACTTCATCCTGGAGGCCACACAGGTCTGTGTTTGGACGAAACTATAGAATAGATCAATAGCAATTGCATGTATTTCATCTAATATTATGCTACTGTATATAATATAATATTATATTGAACTATAGTTGATTTTAAATAATTATTAATATGCACTACCTTTGAGTGTTTTGTGCCGGGTTTCTGAAGGAAGGGCCCTGTTTACAGCTGTATTTAACATCGTCCACTTGTGATCTGATCAACCAAAACTCATCTTAATACCTATTATGGCCAACAAGACTGCATTATTGAATCAAAAATACAGTGAATACAGTAATCGTAGTTTAATATAGTTTTAGAATGTAATTTATTTCTGTGATGGCAAAGCTTCAGAAACATTTATTATTATTATTATTATTATCCATGTTGAAAACAGTTGTGGAAACGGTGGTAGCCTACTTTTTTGTTTTTTAAACATCTTCCTTTCTCTCTTTAGGATGATTATGTTTTAGAAGTTCGTCATTTTCAGTGCCCAAAGTGGCCAAACCCTGACGCTCCCATTAGCAGCACCTTTGAGCTCATCAACGTCATCAAGGAGGAGGCCATGACCAGAGATGGACCCACTATAGTGCATGATGAGTAAGTGACGCTCTTTTAATCCAAATGTACAAAACCTGTGTAAGCCTGATAACTGAGGCTTTAGGGGCTGGAGGGATGGATTCTATGGATAGTATGTCATAAATTGAACATACTCCAAAAAAAGTTTCATGTTTTGTGACTTGCTTCATACAGTATGTGTGCACTCAACATCGCTGAGCAAATTCAGCCTTATAAATTCTCAAACATTGGCAGTTTTTTTGGCCATCCTTCATGTTCAGCTCCTAGAAATCTGATGGAGGCAGAGTCTCGATTCTCACCGAGTGGAGACGAAAGGCCTTCCTCGACGTGAGCGCAGGAATAACTCCACAGGAGAGACAGAAGGAGGAGCACTTCACAGGCTAGCATATCTTCACCGCTAATGAATGCAATGCTAATTAAGACTGCCATCTTTTGGAAAGCTCTTAGGGCTGATACCATAGTAACATTACACATTCTGAAAAGCTCAATTAGTCCGCCATGTTTATCAGATGAGGCGAGCTCACCACATTAACTTAAGGAATGAACATGAAGGGGCCATTGTTGCAAAGTGATGTCTGTTGAAATGAGGGAATACTCGTTAGAGCTAATTGGATCACAGCACCTTAGTGTGTCAAGCAATAGAAACAGTAATGGATTCCATTCCCATAGAGTTAAACATAGTGTTTATGGGGGGAGACGTTGCACTAATCTCAGAGAAGCAAGAACATTAGATGAAATGAGACAGGAAGTGGCCTGTACTGTGATCTATAATAAAGAATCTATTATATTAAAACAAGAACTTTGGAATAAATTGTGATCAATTACACTGTCTTATGTACATATGGTTATGGTTATATTTATTTATTTATTAATATTATTTTTTTTTTATTATTATTTCATTATTTAGATGATTGGTTGAATTTATTTCTTTTTTCTTTTTTTTTATTTAAATGAATATATATACTACACTATATATGTATAACACGGTATCATAAGAACATAAAGGTCTTAAATTTATAACAAAAATGTCCTCATGCACATTCTAGGTCATATTGTGCATGATTTTATATATATAATTGATTAAAAACTTGAAAAGCTTAAAAGACAAAAGACGAAAATTAAAAATGTCGCTTCGGTTACTAACTGAAATAAATAAGTTTAAGTAAAAGCTCTAAAATTTAAAACTGAAATAAAAATAAATTAAACCTAAATAAAATATATTTTAAAAAAAAATACAATTGACAAATGCATGTAACAAAATTACTAAACAAACTAAAATGGATTGAATGAAAACTAAAAATATTAAAATAAAAGCTCATTTAAATATTAATAAATGGTAGTATATAAATAAAACTAAAAAACCCTGTCTGACATCACCAATCGCACATTTCTAGCCTCATCCTTTAATTTCTTGTCATATAGACACAACATGTCATGTTCCAGTCAGTCCTCAATGAAACACTTATAAAAAAATGCCCTACACTTCATTTCTTGTTTAATATTTTTCATAACTTGGCGTATGAAACATTGTAAGGCATTGTAAGGAGGACGTTTAAATCTGGTTTATTTTCCTAGTGTGATTGCTGCGTACTAGAGCCCGACCGATAAAGGATTTTGAAGGCCGATAGCGATACAAATATTTTTGGGTTTTAAAATCCGATATTCCGATTTATCGGACGATATTTTATTTATTTATTTGAAACTGGACATGATAGCCACAAATTTTGTCATGCTTATTTGACTTAAGAGAACTGATGGGGATGATCTTTTACTGTTATTCAAGCAATGTATGTATCGTGTTGCCAACAGGGACGGTGTAGAGCGCCCTCTGGTGGACAAACTATACAACTCCAACACTCATGACATGGTTCAAGCGTGTTTCGTCCGTTTTTATTTTATTTTTGAAATATTCATTTATCGGCCATTATAACTGCCCATACCGATAGTTTGGAAAATGCCTAATATCGGCCAATAATATCGGTCTGGCTCTACAGCGTACGGTGCCCTGGCCTCGGGTGGTGCGATGTGTTCACTACTGTTATCATTACGACTGCAAACACCTTCAATTACTACTTGGATTGTACACTTTTCAATTTGAGTAAATTTAGCTTTATAACTGGTCTGTTTTCACCTAATTGATGAACTGAATCGTAGTTCGAGAGTAAAGCTGCAATTCCTCCATCACCGTGAGACTCCTCCGTAATCATGTTCAAGTGAAAATCGCTGTGCCGCATAATTAGACAGTCTATTAGCCAAAGCGCTTTTCCTTCCAAACAAAAGTGCCTGGTGTGAGTAGTACACCCCAAGAGGTGACGTGGGTTGCACAACATTTCTGTTCCTATATGATGATGTATGTATGTATGTGTGTTTGTGTGTGGACAGGTTTGGTGCAGTGTCTGCTGGGATGTTATGTGCCCTCACCACACTGTCGCAGCAGCTGGAGAGTGAAGGAGCGGTGGGCGTCTATCAGGTGGCCAAGATGATCAACCTCATGAGACCAGGGGTCTTCACCGACATCGTACGTGTTTATATATTTATACTATACATTCTCCAAAACTACGCCCCACTCTATGGACGAATCCGGCAAAACTACCGGAAGTAAGCGGGCGCCATTACTGAGCTGTTGTTGGGTAGCGTTGCGCCATTGCCTCCTATTGTTTTAGTTGCAACTTGCGTCCACCGGAATAAACAGCTCGCGATTTACGACTGTCACTAACGTTACAACGTCACCCCTTGTATAATATCGAGTGGGTAAACAGTTTCCGTTATAAATCGTTTCAATGGTGGCAGTAAAATTTCTATTTTGAAGAGAAAAGACTGTGAATACCCCGGGTCGACTGCCCCTGTCTGGAGCCGTACGGTTTACACAGATTTCCTGGGCGAGTACAAGACGCGGACATTCGCGTATAATAACAATTATTTAATGACATAAGTAAAAAAATATAAAAAATACTGGATGTGATATAGTGATCAGCAAAATCTCATCTCTTGCTATTTGTTCTATTCAATTAACATGCTATGGTCATTAAATGGCTTTCCTGAGCTAAATGTAACGTTATGTGACATAATTGTTCTCCCGCTGTATTATTGACCTCTTTCCATGGTTTAAAAACACTAATTGGTCGATATTATGTATACTTTCTAGCTGTAACGTTACCTTACCCTTGCCCGTTGCAATGTGAAAATGAGATAAATAATGGACACAAATGAAAAACATGAATTTGTTTATTTGATTTCATTTATTTATTTATTTATTGTTGCCAAATGGACAGATCTTTTTTATAGTTTCCTCGTTAGCAAACGTTAGCCTAGCTAGCTTGCCAACTTGCCAAGCTATTTTCATAAATAATCTGTAAGTACCTTCATCGGTGACTGGAGGCCACTGTCTAACATCATCAACCCAACAAGTCATTCTGCCTGTCTGTAGCTGTCATCGAGGGTGAGTTCGCGTTATCACCGAGGTTTGTCATGTTTTGTGTTTTTCAAAAAAAAAAAAAAATAAATAAATAAATAAATGTTTTGTGTTTCTCAGGAACAGTACCAGTACCTTTACAAAGCTATGCTCAGCCTGATCAGCACGAAAGAGAACGGCTCCAGCCCCATGTCCCTGGACAGAAACGGCAGCATGGCCACGTCTGACGAGTCGGACCCGGCGGAGAGCATGGAGTCCCTCGTCTGAAGCCCGCGGAGAGGCGCTTAATCTCACTTTGTAAAACTTCAAGGACTAAGACAGACTTTTTCTGAGGCCTTTTTTGCCAGAACTCTTGGTTAAACGAATAACCTGATTACTTTTTTACACTGATAAAAAGTTTTTGATATTTATTTTTTCGCCATTTTATGTCTTAATGTTATCCTACTGAACATTTGCACCGACGTTTTTTGAGTTCACGACAAACAAAACGAAATGAAACACAGTTCTGTCTAGTTTGCACTATGAAACTATCAGTGTTACTGCCTACCCCACAGTCTCTCTCGAGCTCTCGCTGTCACGCCCTTGTTTTTGACATTCCACGATGATGAAAACGCTTTTCCACGCACACCTCAGAAGCTGGAAAAAGAGATTAACCCCACATCCAACTTGCGAAGACTCACCGCAAACCGTCAGATTGACCCATGAAAGGCCATATGGACCGTTCGTTTTGGTTTGTTTGTTTGTTTGCTTGCTTCCGCACCCCAAATAGTAGATCTATTCATTATGCTTCTAGTTAAACCCATATTTACTTTTGGAAAAGGTGGTATTAAAACAGCTACTGTGAACTTTTGTATGATTCATATTCTGCTTTTAATATATATGAATATATGGTATATCATGATAACTTGTGCTTTTGTAAATGTTAACCGTCGGACCCCCGGCCGGCGCTCATGACTTCTCTAGCACCCCCTGCTGGTTTGATTTCACCATTGCTTTATGCTGCAAGCTGCTACTTGTGTCACTTGAGTCGAGTGCAAGCGGACAGGTAATGATATCATGTGACGCGTTACCTATGGACGAGTTCATTCTGTTATTGGCCCACTTCATTTTGTAATTTTATACTGCTCTGCTTTGTCCTATTTTTTCACAAGCCGTCCCATCACTTTGAGAATAATGTATACAAGTCTCTCGATGCCTTCTGTACAGTCTCATTTCACCTCGGCAGGTGTGTGTGTGTGTGTGTTTGGTATTGACTGGTTTTACTAGTAGACTCATATCACATTTCTTCACTAAACAGACTTCTTACAGTATCAAAGATATACGCTAGGAAATACGGTTACCGTAATATCATAAACGGTTCCCTCATGCAGGATGCAGCACAAAGGCCTTGCTAAAGTAACATTAGAAACAGTCTTAAAGAAACAGGGGACCCGTGATTCATTAATTTTTACCAAAGACTAAACTTTCATTCACGAAACACGTGGGAACGTTTTTATTTTTATTGTTGGGTAACGCAGTTTTAAAAAGAATGTTTTTGGGAAAAGGATGATTCCACAGGCAAAATAATGTTTTATGTTTTGATTGTGTTTTTCTTTCGTTTTGTTCCACTAAAAATGTTTGTTTCTCTGGTCACCTTTATTTTTGTTTGTTTTTTTTATGTTGCAAGTGAATGAGAATGTATACTATTACGGATTTCTTTTTTTGTTTGTCTTTTGAAAGATTGAAATGGTTATGCTGTTCAGATGGAGAAGAGCAACATTGAAGGAGTTTATTCTGTTAATGTCTTGTTTCTCCTAAGAAGAAGGCCGGAAAATGAAGTCGCATCTCTCCAACATTTGGGGTAATATTCTGACTGATATCACGTGAGGTCATTGGAGGTGACAAGCTGCATTTCTAAATCTGTTCTGACCTTTATGCCCTGTGGTGTCCCCTTTGTTCCCCTAGCATTATTTGTGGGTTGCATTTGCATTATCATGTACATATCTTTTGTTGCTTCATTAACCCTTCGCTCTCTGAAAGCTTTGTATCCTGGCATATAGTCGCAAACTTTATATTTTCATATAAATCAACTTGTTTTTAGTTTTGTGTTTAGTTCTCATATTGATGGTTAACACAAAATGTCCCCAAGGTGGCTGACATCATATTCCAAACACACTCACAACACTCATAAACTAAGGCAGTGATTGTGGGGTTTCTTTGTTTCCCCCCGTTTGAATCGAAATAAAATCTGTTTGATAGTCCAGAAGTGCAATAGTATAGCTCTCGTAAGAATAATTCCCCAATACAAAGCAGGTGGGTGTCACCATCATATCCTCTTTTTCTAATCTGGAATAACACACAAAGGAAATTTTTCTCTTGGGTTTTTTTTTTTCTCTATTTTTCTTTTGTTGAAAGCTATATCAAAGCATTCTATTATAGTGTTATTTAATATGTAAATTGTATTGCTATACATAAAATAAAATATGAGTTTTGATGTACTTTAAGTAAATCTCCATGTTGTACATTGTGTGGGGTGAGTCTATGCTGCCTGATATTTGTATTTGATTGCTTCTTTACAATAGTGTTGTAGTCTAGAGACCGAGATCAAGTCAAGACTAAAACCAGTGGGTGTTAAGACCAAGACGAGACCAAGACTTTGGGGGGTTGAGACCAAGGCAAGACCAAGACTTTGAGGGGTTGAGACCAAAACCAGTGTGTGTTGAGACCAAGACGAGACCAAGACTTTGAGAAGACCAGGGCAAGATCAAGACTTTGACGGGATGAGACCAAGACGAGACCAAGACTTTGAGGGGTTGAGAGACCAAGACGAGATCAAGACTTTGAGGCGTTGAGACCAAGACAAGTGTGTGTTGAGACCAAGACGAGACCAAGACTTTGAGGGGTTGAGACCAAGACGAGACCAAGACTTTGAGGGGTTGAGACCAAGACGAGACCAAGACTTTGAGGGGTTGAGACCAAGACAAGTGTGTGTTGAGACCAAGACGAGACCAAGACTTTGAGGGGTTGAGACCAAGACCAGTGTGTGTTGAGACCAAGACGAGACCAAGACTTTGAGGGGTTGAGACCAAGACGAGACCAAGACTTTGAGGGGTTGAGACCAAGACAAGTGTGTGTTGAGACCAAGACGAGACCAAGACTTTGAGGGGTTGAGACCAAGACGAAACCAAGATTTTGAGGGGTTGAGACCAAGGCAAGACCAAGACTTTGGGGGGTTGAGTCCAAGACGAGACCAAGACTGAGGGGTTGAGACCGAGATGAGACCAAGACTTTGAGGGGTTGAGACCAAGACGAAACCCTGATTTTGAGGGGTTGAGACCAAGGCAAGACCAAGACTTTGAGGGGTTGAGACCAAGACCAGTGTGTGTTGAGACCAAGACGAGACCAAGACTTTGAGGAGACCAGGGCAAGATCAAGACTTTGACGGGTTGAGACCAAGACGAGACCAAGAATTTTGAGGGGTTGAGACCAAGATGAGACCAAGACTTTGAGGAGACTAGGGCAAGATCAAGACTTTGAGGCATTGAGACCAAGACCAGTGTGTGTTGAGACCAAGACGAGACCAAGACTTTGAGGATCAAGACTTTGACGGGTTGAGACCAAGACCAGTGTGTGTTGGAGGGGTTGAGACCAAGACGAGACTAAGGCCGAGTCAAGACCAAGACCAGAACTCCTCAAATTCATCTGAAAGATCCAAATGGACTGCATGAGAACTGTCTCATAATCAATAAATACAATTAGCATAATAAGATGCGATGAACTGTTTCCAAATCAAATGAAATCACTTACAGGAAAATTAATATGTGCATTGCAGAGATGGCACAGAAGCTGCATCTGAATTCGTAAAATTTAAAAAAATTTGTGTTTAAAAAAAAAAATTATTTTATTGGACATCAAGATCATGTTTGCAATCGTGCTCATATTTGTGAAAACAGCTCTTTTGCTCTAGAACAGCTATGGGGTGAGTAATGCTTTTTAGTCTGCGCAGCGCAGCTTCAAGTTGCACACACCTATTAGCTTCGAACACAGCTCAAACAATCAAGGACAGGAACTATCCATTAAATATGATTTTATATTATCACAAAATTTTATGTGAATAAAAATTGCTTGCGCCACTTGCAAAATCCACTGTCAATGCGCCACTGTCATCATTTCATATCTGCAAGCAAATTCACATTTTCTGTGATTGTAACCAAGCGAGGGTTCAGTGGATAAAATATCCAAAAGCACAACACTGCCACCCAGCGCTCAAATTAGTTTTCGTTTTCTTTCTGGCAGGTTTGTGTTCTTATTTTTTCTCTATGACAGTATAGTCTGAATGGTCCTAATTGCTGTAATTATTACAATGCCTGATTTAGATTTTCACAAAAACTATAGATTTAAATCAGAACAAATGCTGAGCTCTGGGGCATAAAAACAATAATCACGAGGAACCAGAAGCAATTATGTGTTTTGTTTTTGCTGGAACCCATAAACACAAGAGACAAAGCAAAGTTAATTACAAAATGAAACAATACACAGAAGAAAGGACAGTCAGACTGAAAAATCAGAGTCATGACTATATTAATACACCACAAAGAATATCCCAAAATTATGTCGGGACAGAAATGTATGAATCATGTATGTCTTCTTTGTATTATCAAAGGACAGATACCGCCAATCAACCTGTGGTTTGGTCATCCTGAATGATCAAAAGATTCAGACTCTGAACATGCTGTTATAAATAAGTGACAATAATAGACCCATTGTTAGCAACATACATATCACATGTATAAAGTCTAACCATTTTTTAAAACCTTTTGAATTTGCATCCTATTATGATCACATTCACACAAGAAAGGCTATTCTATTTGCATTTTTAGGCTGTGGGTGCTAAAAAGAAAACACCCATAGTACCAGTTTAAGCCACAACAGCTTAAACAAAATAGCCTACCTCCATGATGATATTTTGTGGCTGTTGTGGCTTTAACTGGTGCCAAGTTTACAAAAATACACTAATTGTATGATTACATTTTTGAACTGGAAAATGTAAACAACCAACAAAGCAACTGCATTTGTGTAGTTGAATTAGGCCTACATTTTTGCTCAAATCCTTAGACAAGTTTACTGTATAGTTTCTCAGTCTATGAAAACTGGGAGGAATTACGTCACTACGTACCTGCCTTAAAACAGTTTATTTTTATGCAAAATATAATTTTATATTTTTTTTCTCTCTCTCTAAAATGAGGCCGGTACAAACCTTTCCTATCTATACATCAAATTCACGGAACATACACGAGGGGGCGGTACATGATACACACATACATGCGCTTCTTCGTGTGTCTCCTTAGTGCGCATGCGCGGAGTCGTGACCGCGCACTTGTGTGAGGCGTTTGAAACTTCTCGCCGGTGATAGCACAGCACTGCAACCTACAGCTAACGGTAAGAGCCTTTATATCTTTATATCATTATTAATAAATCCACTCTCTTCTAGGCGTTATTAAACAATGAGATACTGAATTATCTTGTTTGAATGTTAACCCATGCAGCGCGCGCTGTTAAAGTGAGCTCGAGAGTTAGCTCGTGAACTAACGTAACGTTAACCACATCACGGATTAACGTTACTTTACAGAGCCTTTCTTTAACTAAATGAACCCCGTTTAACGGTTTCTTCGGCGTTCTGCATGTTAAATAGAAAATGCTGAAACGCTGTTTACTTTGACTATAAGGATGACTAGCATTTCAGTATGCTAACAGCTTTAGCACGTGAATCTTGGCCCGAGTTTCTGTCTTTAAACTCTGTCAGAAACATCCAAACTGAGACGGTGGGCACCATAAACCAGCAGTCACTCACACACACATCATAATTTACTGTTTATTCATAAATTCCCGTGAGATAACGTCACCTGAGCTTCGGTCTGAGCAGGCCACGGGTGTGTGACGCCATCTGTCAAATATCAACAGTTTTCACTATCGACAAGATACGGGATTATATGTAAAATAAACATAAAAGAGTAATAATCACATCAAAATATAATTTGAATCCAGCTCTTTAATTGGTCAGATGCGTTCATATACATCAATTTACTTAATCATCATCATTAGCAGAGTGTATTATTCTCAGAATAAGATGATTTTAATAAGTAGTGAACCAGTTAGCCTACGGGCAGTCCTTGCTGTGGTTGAATATGTTCTATACTTTTGGAGGGTGTATTGTGAGTTATTAAAGATCAGTTCTCATAGATGGTGTTTTAATTACTGTAGCAATCATGGAGCTCAATGATGCCAATCTCCAAACCCTGACTGAGTATCTGCAGAAAACACTAAGCCCTGACCCAGCTGTGAGACGGCCAGGTAACATTCACATTTCAGAATATTTAAAATATACATATTGACTTTACTTTGGTTTTGACCATGAGAAGAACGTATGTTTACATGGTATGTAACAGCTTTCTCTGTATACTATATATAATATAAATGGATCCTTAATAAAGCTGATTGATGTCCTAATGCACAGTTGTGGGTGTACCTGAATACTTGCCAGGGTGCCATTTTGACACAGTTTTGCAGATGATAAGCTTTCGTGACGATTCTGCCCGCTGTCCGAGCCCTGATTCGTCATGCATCTAGATGAAGAGGTGGTTCGCAGGTTAAGGAATCCGTAATGTTTTCTTGTTTGTTCTCGTTGGCTTCTCCATCTTTAGCTGAGAAATTTCTTGAATCAGTGGAAGGAAACCAGAACTACCCCCTTTTACTGCTCACAGTACTAGAGAAGTCCCAAGATGATGTCCTGCGTGTGTGTTCGGCCGTCACCTTCAAGAACTACATCAAGAGGAACTGGCGCATAGTGAGTATCCTGGTAAACATTACTAAAGACGTCTGATGTGTGATGGTGGATGTTTAATGTGGATGTTCTCTTCAGGTTGAGGACGAACCGAACAAAATCTCTGACCCTGATCGGACTGCGATCAAAGCCAACATTGTAAATTTGATGCTGACCAGCCCAGAGCAAATACAGAAACAGGTGCGCATTTCAGATAACCAATGAGAAGCAGTGGTTAAGATAAAGTTGCTTTACTTCTGCAGTTATTCTTCTGTTTTCTGGAAACTGGAATAAGTGCTGTATCTGTAAAATCCACATCACTGGGTTTTAAATAAACCGTGTGGCTGCAGTCTCTAGAGCAGTGGTTCTCAACCAGGGCACACTTAAGGGTTCTCAAGAGGGACACTAAATAAGATACTGTCAAGATACTAGTTAAAGATAAGATATATTTTGATAAATAACTTAAATTTTGTCAGGATAAATTTTAGTTTACCCACTCAACAATAATAGTCCGCAGGGCTCACGAAATTCACTCTAACACCTGATTAAATTTCTTTCTTGTGCTGAACACAAAAGAAGATATTTTGAAGAATGTGGCTAACCAAACAGTTGCTGGTCCCCATTGACTTCCATAGTGGGAAAAATATATGTTATGGAAGTCACTGGGTGACCCACATTCTTCCAAATAACTTATTTTCAACA